GGCACAGCCTGCTCCGCCAGGGCGTGCCGATCTTTGAGTTAGACATGGATCAGCTAGGTGCTGCTTTGCATGCTTTGTATTCTGACGCTTCTAGTTTTGCTGGATCTTATTACCCTGTGTACTCTAGTTTAGGTGTTGCACCACTGTGTAGCTTAGCCTCCCGTGCTGCGTCAGGCGTAGGACTGCCTAGGTTGCCTAGTCTAGTCGCTGCACCGGCTCCGTCCCCAGCCTCCGCCACTGCGTCGCTGTCCTTCACTCTCGACTCCGGTGCTTCTGCCTGCTTCTTCCACGACAGTTCCACGCTCACGCCGCTTCCTACAACTGCCGTTGTCTCTCTCGCTGACCCCTCTGCGGGTCCCGTCGTCGCGCGCAGTTCTACGTCCCTTCCCTGTCCGGCAGTTCCCTCGGGCTCCCTTACTGGCCTCCACGTTCCCTCGTTCTCGAGGAACCTGGTTGGTGTCGGCTGTCTCCAGGACCTCGGCGTCACCACCACGTTCCCCGGGCACGAGCGGTTCGCTGTCTGTTCTGAGGCTGTCTCAGGTTCCCCCCTTGCGACGTTCCCCCGGGACCCGGTGTCCGGTCTGTTTACCCTAGAAACCGCTTCCCCCCCGGTTGGTGCGTCCTCCCAGGTCGCTGCAGCTTGCTCGTGTCGGTCCCTCACTCACCCCTCCCTTCTCTGGCACCACTGCTTAGGTCACCCTGCTCTCCCTCGTCTGCGTCACATGTCCCAGCACGGTCTTGTCTTAGGTCTCCCCGCGTCGCTCCCTGCCCTTCCTCCCTCGACTGCGCCACCGTGCACGCCTTGCGTCGAGGGTCGGCTCCGCCGTGCTCCTCACTCCTCCTCGCTGCGTCCTGCTACTGCCCCCCTTCAGACCCTGCACCTGGACGTTTGGGGCCCTGCCCCCGTCCCCGGACCGCGCGATGAGCGCTACTTCCTTGTGCTCGTCGACGACTACACGCGCTACACCACGGTGTTTCCCCTGGAGCGGAAGGCCGACGTGCCCGACGTTCTTCTCCCGTGGGTTGTGGCTGCGCGTCTCCACCGCGGTCTCTTCGTGTTGTGTCTCCACTCCGACCGTGGCGGCGAGTTCGCCTCTGGTCGGCTTGGACAGTTCTGTCGTGCGGAGGGCATCACCCAGTCGTACACGTTGCCGGACTCGCCACAGCGGAATGGGGTTGCTGAGCGCCGCATCGGCTTGGTCATGGAGGTCGCCCGTACATCCATGATCCATGCCGATGCCCCCCATTTTCTGTGGCCGTTCGCTGTTCGATACGCTGCTCACCAGCTTAACCTGTGGCCACGCTCCCAGCGGCCGCAGGTTTCGCCGACCCTCCTTTGGACCGGGTCCCCCGGTGACGCGTCTGCGTTCCACGTCTGGGGCTGCCTTGCTCACGTTCGTGCCTCTGGCACAGACAAGCTCACTGCCCGCACTGTCCCCTGTGTCTTCCTCGGTTTCCCCCTGGACTCCTCTGACTGGCTTTTCTACCACCCGCCGTCTCACCGCTTCCTGCACTCTCGTGACGTCACCTTTGACGAGTCCGTCTCCTTCTACCGCCGCTTCCCTCACCGAGGTCTCCCAGTTGCCCCCCCCCTGTTCCTTGCTCCCTCTCCCCCGGTAGCCCCTGCCCCTCTCCCGCCTCGTCCTGCCCCGTCTGGTGTCTCTCACGTCACTCCCCTCCCGTCGGTGGTCCCCGTTGAGGAGTCTGCTGACTCTGGTGGTACCCCCGGTCCCTCCTTGCCGCGTCCCCCTTCCCCGGTGCCTCCGCCCCCACTGTCTCAGTCGCCGACCCCGCTGCCGCCGCCGTCGCCGTCGCTGCCGCAGCCGTCGCCGCTGTCGCCGCCGCCGCAGCCGTCCCGGCCACTGCCGCCGTTGCTCTTGGCCCCTGGGGGTGCTGGTGTGGAGGAGGGTGTTCGTCCTGCGGCTTCTGGGGGTGCCGCTGGTGTTGGAGGGGGTTCTCGCTCTGGGGGTGTTGGTTCTGGGGGTGCTGCTGTTGAGTGTTCTGCCGACGGTCGTTCTGCCTTTGCTGGTCCGAGAGTTCCGGCCCAGCCGTCGTCGCCGCCGCAGCAGCCGTCGCCGCCGGTCTCCGCTCTCCGCCTGCTCGGCCTTCCCTCCCCGAACCGTGCGCCGGTGTCTCCCCCACCGCCTGCTGACCTTCCTGTCTACGGTCCTGTGTTCCCGCCGCCGGACTCGTCTCCGGCCCGTCTTCCTCCTCGTTCCCCTCCTGTGTCTCCTCCGCTGTCCCCTGACCCTACACCTCCGTCTCACGTTTGGGCTCGCCGTCCCTCCCGTGCTCGTCTCGTCCTCCCCTCCTCCCGTCCCCTCCTCCCTCGTCCCTTGCTGTTGCACCTCCTCCGTTCTCTGACTACCTCCGTGCTGCTCGTCCCCTTGTCCCTCGGGTCCTTGCCTCTCTTGTTACCGACCCTGCTGTTCCTGTCTCGCGCCTTGACACGCTTGTCGCTGCTGTCACTGACTTCGCCTCTACCCGTCGCCTTGACTACGCTACCGCTCTGGTCTCTGACCCTGCCCGTCCTCCGCCCGTCAGGGGTGCTCCTGCCCTTGGCAGAGACATCCTAGAGGACAGGCAGCACGAGCTGGCTTTCCTTTCCGAGGCTGCTCCCCATCTCTGCTCCATGCTGTTAGTCCCTGAGGGTGACCCAGACGCCTTCGACATCCTGACCCCTCGCACCTACGCTGAGGCCACCTCGGGACCTTGGGCCTCTCAGTGGATAGCTGCCATGGAGCAGGAGATGGCATCTTGGAGGTCCACCGGCACTTACGTCGACGCAGTTCCCCCGCCTGGGGTGAACGTAGTCGATGGTCGGTGGCTCTTCAAGGTGAAGCGCCCCCCTGGAGAGCCGCCTCTCTTCAAGGCGCGCTACGTGGCCAGAGGTTTCAGTCAGCGCGAGGGGGTTGACTTCTTCCAGACCTTCGCTCCGACCCCGAAGATGACCACTCTTCGGGCGCTGCTATATGTAGCAGCACAGCGTGACTACGAGCTTCACTCCCTCGACTTCTCTACTGCCTTTCTTCAGGGTAGCCTACACGAGCAGGTCTACCTGCGCCGACCACAGGGCTTCACTGGTACCTTCCCTCCTGGGACCCAGTGGCTTCTCAGGCGCCCGGTCTACGGCCTACGTCAGGCTCCCCGCGAGTGGCACGACACGCTACGTGCCACGTTAGCAGACTTGCAGTTCTTTCCGTCCTCTGCTGACCCTTCACTGTTTGTGCGTTCCGGCCAGACTCCGTTCTACATCCTTGTCTACGTAGACGACCTGGTCTTCGCTACTCCTGACAGGGACGCACTGGCCTCTGTGAAGGCTGAGCTGCTGAAGAGACACACCTGCACTGACCTTGGAGAGCTGCGTCGCTATCTTGACCTGCAGATCTCTAGGGACAGAGCAGCACGCACCATCACTCTGACCCAGTCACACTTGGTGCGTCAGGTCCTTCAGAGGTTCGGTCTTCAGTTCTCCTCCGCACAGCCCACACCTCTACCCGTAGACCATGGGCTCTCTGCTCCCGTTCCTGAGGAGCCAGTAGAGCCCAGTGGCCCCTACGCAGAGCTGGTGGGTTGCCTCATGTACCTGATGACTTGCACTCGCCCAGATCTCGCATACCCTCTCAGCATCCTGGCTCGCTTTGTGGCTACAGGCAGACACCGACCTCAGCACTGGTCTGCCGCTAAGAGGGTTTTGCGTTATCTTGCTAGTACATCAGGCATGGGGTTAGGTTGGAGGACGCAGGCCAGTGGTCCTTACTGGGCACACAGACGCTTCTTGGGCAGACGACGCTAAGACGCTCAGGTCGTCGCAGGGCTACTGTTTCAGCCTTGGTTCGGGTGCTATCTCTTGGAGATCCACTCGTTCGTCGTCTGTGGCTCAGTCTAGCTGTGAGGCTGAGATCTACGCTGGTGCCATGGCGACACAGGAGCTCCGCTGGCTGACCTTCTTGCTCACAGACTTAGGTGAGCGGCCTAGCTCTGCCCCGGTCCTGTACGCTGACAACAGGGCCATGATACTCCTGTGTCAGGAGCCTCGGCTTGAGGGCAGAGCGAAGCATATCCAGCTGCGGTACTTCCTCCTGCGTGAGCTACAGCAACGCCGCCAGGCCCGCGTAGTTCACTTGGCCTCAGGTGCCAACACAGCTGATATCTTTACTAAGGCGCTTGCGCCTAAAGATCATCAGCGGCACTGTGTACAGCTTGGTCTTGTTCCTGTAGCTGCTCCCCTGTTAGGATCCTGATTGTGTACTCTGTATTATATATGCTTGTCAGATTGGCCTTGTGGCCTTACCTCCAGTGGCTGGACTAGTAGTGCCACCCTGGCTTGCTTCAGTTTTGGTTGTCTTCTTGCTGACTGGTCTCCAGACCCCTGCCTCAGTGGTTGGACTAGTAGTGCCGCCCTGAGCTGTTTGCTTCTTGTTTAGTTTCACCCCTTGTCTAGCCTAGGGGGTGTGTCAACTTATACATATTATCTATGTAGAAGTTATAGGCTAGACTGAGGTATGCTTCTAGTGAGTACAACCAACTAGTATTTGTTCTAGGTTTCCACTTCTAATCATTATTCGTTCTCACTTTAACAGAAACTTCAATTCAAGTCGCCGAGATTCCCTCGCCGAAGTGGGTAGGGGGGAAGAGAGTCCAGGGCTTTCTTTTCGTTTCAGGCTACCCTGTAATTTCAAAGTAGTTTTTTCTCCGAGTCTGACCGGAACACACTTGGAACTGGGGGACTTAGCCGGACTTCACCAATTTTTCGGGGTCGCTCGAGGGCTGTGGGAGGAATGCCTTTGGCAGTGGGGGACTTAGCCGAAATCTTGGGTTGCGGGGGGTATAGGAGGAATGACTCTCGGATTGGGGGGACTTAGCCGAAATCTACAGGTTGCCAAGGGGATAAAATATTTCAGGGGGGGATCGCATGTGTGATTGTGTAAGGGTGATTTTACACAACACTTTTCCGCATCAGGGTCCCTACACTCGACCACTTTGAAAAAACAGGGTCCCGTATAGATCTAATTTTTTTCCTAAGGGTAGAACAGCTACCCCACCCTTATTATAAGGGCCGTAAGGGTATTTTACCCTGATATCCTGAGGCCTAGTGATGAGAGTTGTAAATGCGAGACAGTAGATTTTCACCATCGCGAGACAGTACTACTACACCGCAATCATAACAGCATAATCATCATCACCCAGCAGATTACGGTACTGCCTATATGACCTACAACTTGTGGCTCCACTTCTTAGTCCACAACTAGATTTAAGAAAAAATCTGTCTGCCCCCTCCTTCCGCCCCTGCCCATCTTCAGCCCCCCTCCCTCGCCCCCCTCGAATTTGCGGCTGCATCACCCCTCCGACCTTACTATTCTCGACACTCCAAAGAAACTCCGCTCATAGAGTAGACCTAAAAGCCCCCTCTCAGATGCTCAAAACTATCCATCGGGCCTTGCCCTGCGCCTTGTGTTTGCGGCTGCACCACCCCTCCCACCTTAGTGAGCCCCACACTCGCCAGAAACTCCGCCTCCCAATCCCTCTTGAACCCTACCATCCCCCCTCCTGCTGCTGCCGTTCTCCCCTGATTCCCACCACTCACGCCACCACCACCAGCACCACCAGCAGCAGCAGCAGAAGCACCGGCACCAGTGCCAGCAGCATTGGCCAGGCTGCTCATCCGCCCCTGGAACTCCTGCAGGGCCGACAGGGAAACCAGCTCCTCCGCATGCATCCCCTTGCCCGCACCTGCCGTCTTGCTTCGGAACAAGGCTCGAGGGTCCTCCTCGTCGCTATCCCCATCCAAGCCTCCCGCCCCTCCTGCCGCCCGTGTGCCCCTCTCGGACGTTCTGCTTCTGAGCAGGCTCCGGATCTGGTCCCCTGAAGCCTTCACGGTGAAAGTACGTACAAGAGTTGGCTCCTCATCCTCCTCATCCTCCTCCTCCTCCCCATCGTCATCATCATCACTCTCCCCATCATCGTTATCATCATTGTCAGCAGCTGCCCTGCCCCCCCCCCTCCCTCCCCCCCTCTTCCCTCTCTCCTGATCAAGTGATTCTTCTGAGCTGCTTCCTCTCAGGCGCTCGTACCGCCGACCGTCACGGTTATGCTCGGGCTCGGCCGAGCCTTTAGGTCCGGCCAGGCCCAGGGCGCCGTTGGCTTTGGGCCACGTTGCTGCCAGGGCAGCTGCTGCTGTAGCTTGGGGATCCGACGGGGCACCTCGGGAAAATTCCGTCTGCCCGAACTGCCCGAAACGGGCAGCCTGAAAGGCTTGCATGTGTGGGGAGAGGGAAGAGGCAGCAGAAGCAGGGGAAAGGCCCGAGCCTAGAGCTTCCCCCCCAAACCCACTGTTACCCGCACTGCCCTGAGGTGAGATTAAAGACGCTATTAAAGCCGTTGCTGCTGCTGCAGGTGCTGCTGACCCACCGCCACCTGCCCCCCCTATACCTCCCGTCGCTCCCCCCATCCCTCCCCTTCCCACGGATCCTGTGGCTGAAACCAGTGGGGTGGTGAAGGCGTGGGGGAGTAGGAAGGGGAGGTGAAATCCCCAGGGATAGGGTAGGACATCCGAGTGCCTGCCTCCCTGCCAGGGCCAGGGACAACCGTGATTGGACCCCCTGCAACCGTTCGGCTGGCCCTCAAAGCTCCTGGGAAATCTCCTGGCGAATCTCCTGGCATAGCTCCTGCTATTGCTGCTGCCATTGCTCCTGCCATTGCTGCTGCGGATAAAGTGTGCCCCATGGATCGTGTTCTGGAGTCTAAGTGTGTGTGCCCCTGCTGCTCCGCCCCCTGGTGCTGCTGCTGATACTGCCGAGAGGAGAAGGTTTTGGACTTGGCCATTCCAAACATCGCCTGCCTCGCTGCCTCCTCCTCCTCCTCCTCCTCTTCCTCATCATCCTCCTCCTCCTCCTCCTCTTCCTCCTCCTCCTCATCACTGTCGTTGCCATTGCCACGGCACGCCTCAACGTGTGCGCCTCGCGTCCCTTCCAGCTGCTCCCGAGCCGACACCTGAGCCCAGATCTCCTGCATAGTCATCCCCCGCATCTCCCCTACCGCCTGCTCGCCTTCCCCCATCCCTCCTCCCATTCCTCCTCCCATGCCTCCTCCCACCCCTCCTCCCATCCCTCCACCCATCCCTCCTCCCATCCCTCCCCCCATCCCTCCCCCCATCCCTCCCCCATCCCTCCCCCCATCCCTCCCCCCATCCCTCCCTCGGTTTCCTCCTCCTCTATCTCCTCCTCCTCTATCTCCTCCTCTCTCCTCCCCAGCTCCCACAACACTCCTGCTATGTCCGACCGCTTCGCACTCAGCTTCCTGAAATCAACTGCCTCACTTGTATCTATTTCCACTACCGACCCTGCCCCATCATCACCATCATCATCACCATCGCTATCGTTTCCACCAGTACCACCACCACGACCGCCACCACCACCACCACCACGACCGCCATCACCACCACCCCTGCCATTTCCATCCTCGTTTCTGCCATCCCCGCTACCATCACGGCCCATGCTAAGTGCTCGCCTGCTCTCCTCCTCTCGCTGCCCCAGCTCCACCAGCAGCTCAGCTATATCTGACCTCTTAGCACTCAGCTTCTTCGGATCTCGCACCTGAACTACAGACCCATCGCTATCACTATCCCCCTCCTCCTCTTCGTCCTCTCCGTCGTCTAACTCAACCACACTCCCCCCTTCATCGTCACTATCCTCCCCTCCCATATCCCCTGTCTGCCTCTGTATCCCACCTCCCGATCCCTGACCCCCACCTCCAGCCCCTAGACCACCAGCCCCGGCAGCAGCAGCAGCTAGGAATGCCTGCTGCGACAAACCAAACTCCTGCCACAGCTGCTGCTGCTGCTGCTGCTGCTGCAGTTGCATTTCGTCTGATGCCGCTGTAGCAGCCGCTACAGCCTGCAGGGCGTTTGCCAGGGCAACAGGATCACAGCCTTGCAGAGAACTGGCGAGCTCAGGGGGGAGGGACTGCAGCGCACTTGCCATCAGCAGCTGCTGTGCTTCGTAGTCCCCTGCTGCTGCTGCCGCCGAAACTGCTGCTGCTGCTGCTGCTGCTGCGGATGCTGATGCTGCATTGCCCAGGTTATTTGTCAGGTCGAAAGGAGGCTGGTTGAATGCTGAGGCTTGGGCCAAGCCTTTCATCCAAGCCTGCATGTTGTTGGTTATGCTACTGTCCTCGTTATTGTCATTCTCGCTATCGTCATCGTCATCATCAGAGTCGTCTGAAGGCGCTGCTTCTAGAAGGACCAGAGAGGCCGCATGGCCTGGGAGCACGTAGGGCGCCAGCACTTCCAGTCGGTGCCTGGAGATGGAGAGTCAAGGGTTGGAGGGAGGGAGGGAGACAGGGCATGGCATGGGAATGGTAGAATTGAGTCATGATCACCAGAGTCGCCTGAAGGCGCTGCTTCCAGGAGCACCAGACCAGAGAGGCCGCATGGCCTGTTTTGAGGCGCCTCAAAGCTGCTTCCAGGAGCACCAGACCAGAGAGGCCGCATGGCCTGGTGAGAGTGAGCACGTGGGGCGCCAGGCTGCCAGCAGCACCTCCACGCATGCTCCCAGCAGGTTTTTGGGTCGACTCAAAAGGTGATTTTTGAGAGATTTTTGAGTCAGCTCAAAAGGTGATTTTTGAGAGATTTTTGAGTCGGCTCAAAAGGTGATTTTGAGAGATTTTTGGGTCGACTCAAAAAGGTGATTTTTGAGTGATTTTTTAGTCGGCTCAAAAGGTGACTTTTGAGTGATTTTTTAGCCGACTAAAAACTCACCTGCCAGCACCTCCACCCAGCCGCACGTGCTCCCAGCCTGGTGTCTGCAGTCGAGCGAATGCAAACGCATCCAGTTGCCGGCATTCAAGGCAAACGAATGCGATGTATGTGCCCATCATTCACGTCATCACCATGTACAGTCTCAGGGGCACAGCAGCCGCAGTCTCACCGTGCACACGAATCATGCCACAATCCATGCCACCACCGCGGCCAGCACTAAAACTTCAGTCTGGCATGTGCCAGCACCACGGCCAGCACCGCGGCCAGCAGTCTGGCATGTGCCAGCAGCGCGACGTACCGCTCCTCCTCGTCCTCCTCGTCGTTCCCCATCCCCACATCTACCACCTCTCCACAATTTGCCCATCTTTGAGGCGCCTAAAAAATAGACTCCTCGTCCTCCTCGTCCTCCTCGTCGTTCCCCACCCCCACATGTACCACCTCTCCACAATTTGCCCATCTTTGAGGCGCCTAAAAAATAGACTCCTCGTCCTCCTCGTCCTCCTCGTCCTCCTCGTCCTCCTCGTCGTTCCCCATCCCCACATCTACCACCTCTCCACAATTTGCCCATCCCTCACCTGATCACCATGTGTAGGTCTCTCAGTCTCAGCGGCTTGGGAATAAAGTAGTCCATCCCAGCAGCAGTGCACCGCTCCTCCTCCTCCTCATCGTTCCCCGTGCCGGGCGTCAGCGCCACGATACACGCCCGCGACACCACCGTCCCCCCTCCCTCTGCAGCAGCAGCCGCAGAGGAGCTTCTGCTGCTGTTGCTTCTGTTGCTGTTGCTCCTGCGCAGGTGCTTCTTCAGGGCGATATCCACCTCCAGCTGCCGCAGGAGCGTGGCTGTGGCAAAGCCGTCCACGGGACCATTCAGATAGCAGTCCTGGGGGGAGGAAGCACAGGGAGCAGTGCAGAGCAGGCATGATGGGGGGAGTAAGAGCGTGTGGTGTTCCTTGAGCGCGATATCACCTCCAGCTGCAGCAGGAGCGTGGCTGTGGCAAAGCCGTCCACAGGGCCGTTCAGGTAGCGGTCCTGGGTTGAACAAGCATGATGAGGTGAGGAAGTGAGGAATGAAGGGAGAGGGGGGGAGATAAGCGCTTGTGATTCTTGAGGGCGACATTCACCTCCAGGATCCACGTGCCGCAGGGGCCTTCTTTTGAGTCGACTCAAAAGTATTCACCTCCAGGATCCACGTGCTGCAGGGGCCTTCTGTTGAGTCGACTCAAAAGTATTCACCTCCAGGATCCACGTGCCGCAGGGGCCTTCTTTTGAGTCGACTCAAAAGTATTCACCTCCAGGATCCACGTGCCGCAGGGGCCTTCTTTTGAGTCGACTCAAAAGTATTCACCTCCAGGATCCACGTGCCGCAGGGGCCGTCTTTTGAGTCGACTCAAAAGTATTCACCTCCAGGATCCACGTGCCGCAGGGGCCTTCTTTTGAGTCGACTCAAAAGTATTCACCTCCAGGATCCACGTGCCGCAGGGGCCTTCTTTTGAGTCGACTCAAAAGTATTCACCTCCAGGATCCACGTGCCGCAGGGGCCTTCTTTTGAGTCGACTCAAAAGTATTCACCTCCAGGATCCACGTGCCGCAGGGGCCTTCTTTTGAGTCGACTCAAAAGTATTCACCTCCAGGATCCACGTGCCGCAGGGGCCGTCTTTTGAGTCGACTCAAAAGTATTCACCTCCAGGATCCACGTGCCGCAGGGGCCTTCTTTTGAGTCGACTCAAAAGTATTCACCTCCAGGATCCACGTGCCGCAGGGGCCTTCTTTTGAGTCGACTCAAAAGTATTCACCTCCAGGATCCACGTGCCGCAGGGCCTTCTTTTGAGTCGACTCAAAAGTATTCACCTCCAGGATCCACGTGCAGCACCCACAGGGGAGTGGCTGTGGCGATGCCGTCCATAGGGCCGCTCAGGTAGCAGTCCTGGGAGGAATGTCTCATCCTGCTGGCCGCCAGACCACCTGCTGGTAAAAAAAAAAGAGAGGCTTGAACCGACCCGGAACCAGCCTACCAGCAGGACGAGGTCCAAGGGGCGGCACTCAAAGAGGGAGAGCGCCTCTTGGGAGGAGCTGGCGACGTTGAAAAGCCGGCTGGTACTGCCAACCCAATGGCGTCTACAAACCAGTAGGCCACCAGCGGACCAGCAGAAACAAGGTGTTTTTGAGAATACTAGAAAACACCCGGCAAAATCAAAGACCAGCAGAAACAAGGATAGGGAAGGGCACATACCAGCAGCACGAGGTCCAAGGGGCGGTGCTCAAAGAGGGAGAGCGCCTCTTAAGAGGAGCTGGCGACATCGAAAGAGCAAGTGGTGCCAGCTACAGGCGCCGCCACCTATGGAGCAACGGACCTTCAGACACGAGGACAGAGGGCCACCCACCAGCAGGACGAGGGGTCGAAGGGGCGGCGCTCACAAGAGGGAGAGCGCCTCCTGGGAGGAGCTGGCGGCCTCGAAAGAGCCAGTGGGTACCAGCCAGCTAGGAGCCGGCGGACCAGACAGACAGGCACAGAAGGGCAGGCAGGCACCCACCAGCAGGACGAGGTCGAAGGGGCGGCGCTCGAAGAGGGAGAGCGCCTCCTGGGAGGAGCTGGCGACGTCGAATGACACTCCAGTGGAGCGAAGCATTGAGAGGGCCATCTGGCGATGCATGTCGTTGGCCTTGTGGTGGGGGGATGGGGAGGGGGTTGGGGGGGTGTGTGACGTGATGTGGAGAGGAAGTGACCCTCTTGAGAGGAGCTGGCGACTCGAAGAACACTCCAGTGGAGGGACATCTGCCGATGCATGTCAATGGCCTGATGGTGGAAGGGAGGGAGAGGGTTGGTGGGGAGTGTGATGTGGGGAGGAAGAAGACACCCTCTTGAGAGGAGCTGGCGACTCGAAGAACACTCTGGTGGAGCAAAGCATTGAGAGGGCCATCTGCCGGTGCATGTCGTTGGCCTGGTGGTGGGGGGGGGGGAGGGGGTTGGGGGGGATGGGGGGGGTGTGAGGTGGGGAGGAAGTGAGAAGGACACCCCGGTGGAACGAAGCATTGAGAGGGCCATCTGCTGGTGCATGTCGTGGCCTGGTAGCGGAAAAGGGGAAGAAGGTGGGGGGGGAGAGGGGGCGGGTTGTTTGGGGGGGTGTGCGATGTGGGGAGGAAGTGGGAAGTACATTCCGGTGGAGCGACACATTGAGAGGGCCATTTGCGAATTCTCAAAAGCACAATGCATTGAGAGGGCCATTTGCGAATTCTCAAAAGCACGATGCATTGAGAGGGCCATTTGCGAATTCTCAAAAGCACGATGCATTGAGAGGGCCATCCGACGACGCATGTCTTTGGTCTGGTGGTTGGTGACAGGAGAGGGGAGGGGGAAGGGGGGTCATTTTTTGGAATTCTCAAAGATGCATTTGGGGGAGGTGTCTCCATGCATAGGAGGTGAGCAGGACACGCCTGTGCCTTGTGGATCGAAGCATGGAGACGTAGGGCCATCTGCCGGTGCATGTCGTCAGCCCGGTCGTGTCATCTGACACAACACAACAGGATACGCTGGCGACTGATCATGGAAACACAAGTTTTCAGGCGCCTCAAAACTGAGACAACAGGATACGACTGCGACTGATCATGGAAACTCCAACCCTCCTGATGTGATGATGACCTCACAGCCTGACACGGCAGGAAGCAGACGAACCGAAAAGGAACAAACCGCGGGCAATGCTCACATCAACGATGAGGATCCGTGCGTTGGGCAGCTCCGTCCAAACATCCATATCCAACGGCTGGTGCGGGTTCAGCTCCTCGGGACTCAAGGTCTGGCACGAGGCCAGCGGCACCGGCAGGAAACACACCACCGACGTGCCCCTTCCTATCTCGCTCTGCAGCTGCACTGCCCCACTGCCCCACCCCCCCACCACCCCCACCCCTGCTGCACTCGAGTAACTACTCGACCTGCTGAACGTCCCTAACCCCCCAGCTCCTCCCCCTCCTCCTGCTCCTCCCCCTCCTCCTGCTGCGCTTGAAGGGGCTATGGCGGCAAGGGCGCGGCGGCAGAGGTGCCGGGCGCGGGGATGAGGAGGTGTGAGATGAGGTTGTGCACAGCGCCGAGGCCGGTGGTGGCGAAGGGACGGCCGAGGAGGAACGACGCGAGGGATGAGGGAGAGGGCTTGTCCTGAAGAGGGTGGAGGGAGGGGAGGGGGGGGGGTTGGTAGTGGCAGGGGAAACGTGGGAGGTGCATTAGGGAGAGAAAAGCAGAGCTGGGAGCAGGAATGGATGCGAGGTGGTGGGGGATGAATGAGGAGGTGGGAGGTGAGGGAGGGGGTGCACGGTGCCCAACCTTGAACTCAGCGTCGTCGATCCCATTGCCCAGTCCCCTTTTGAGTCGACCCAAAAGCGATCCCATTGCCCATGTCCCGAACCTCAAACCCCGAGCAGCAACAGTGCGCTTTACAGCACTCTTAAAAATGGCGCAGTACCATTCTCCCAGCCAGAGGACCGAGCCCCGGAACGCACCTCCCTCAGAACGCACCTTCTCCAGCTCTTGCATGAGAGCAGCCTTTAACTCCGCATTGATCCCATTCCCCGTGTCCCGAACCTCAAACCGAAGCAGCACCGAGCCTGCCTCGCCCTCCCCGCCCGTGCCATCCTCGCCCCTCATCATCGCCTCTCCCCCTCCTCCCCTGCGCGCGCTGCTGCTCCGCCTCTCCAGGAACGTTGCCACGGCTGCACTGTCCTTGCGGCGTTGCCTCACTCTGTGCTCCTCCGCTTCCTTGTCTGACGCCAGGCGCACAGAAACTGTGACGTCACCCCTGCGGAGCGAGAAAAGGGGTGCGGAAACGGGCATGCCAGACGAATGCATTAAGGGGGGGGCTCTCCGGGAACGTTGCCACCGCGGCGCTGTCCCTGCGGCGCTGTCCCTGCGGCGCTGTCCCTGCGGCGCTGCCTCACTCTGTGCTCCCCTGCCTCCTTGTCCGACGCAGCCGCACCGACACGGTCACGTCCCCTCTGCCGAGACAGCAAAGGGGTGGTGCAACGGACGATTTTTGAGGCGCCTAAGAAATCGACAGCAAAGGGGCGGTGCAACGGACGATTTTTGGGGCGCCTAAGAAATCGACAGCAAAGGGGCGGTGCAACGGACGATTTTTGAGGCGCCTAAGAAATCGACAGCAAAGGGGCGGTGCAACGAACGATTTTTGAGGCGCCTAAGAAATCGACAGCAAAGGGGCGGTGCAACGGACGATTTTTGAGGCGCCTAAGAAATCGACAGCAAAGGGGCGGTGCAACGGACGATTTTTGAGGCGCCTAAGAAATCGACAGCAAAGGGGCGGTGCAACGGACGATTTTTGAGGCGCCTAAGAAATCGACAGCAAAGGGGCGGTGCAACGGACACCGGGAAGTGGCGAAGCACTGTGAGGGAGGGAGGGAGGGAGGGAGGGAGGAGCATCTCGAGAACCGTGGCCAGGCCACACGTACATTGAATGCTGCGCATGGCAAGATGTGAGTGAGCATTCGCAAGGAAGGAGCGGCCATAAGCACGTTGAAGCAACGCGCCATCGTGCTGCACCAATGGGTGGGCAGTACTACCATCAGCAGTGTGCCATTAAGCAGTACCTGTCGGTGTGCTGCACCAATAGGCAGTACCTGTCGGTGTGCTGCACCAATAGGCAGTACCTGTCGGTGTGCTGCACCAATAGGCAGTACCTGTCGGTGTGCTGCACCAATAGGCTGTACCTGTCGGTGTGCTGCACCAATAGGCAGTACCTGTTGGTGTGCTGCACCTAGGCAGTACCTGTCGGTGTGCTGCACGGCGTTGAAGATGAGGTTCTGCAGCACTTGGCGGATGGCGGGGCCGTCAGACAGGATGAACTGCGGCACGGCGGAGTCGATGCCGCACAGCAAAGCCAGGCCCTTCTCCTTGGCGTGCACGTCCATCAGGCGCACGCACTCGCGCACCTGAGGGCGTTGCATGGGAAGAAGGTGGTTTGGGGCGGAAGGGGAGGTTAGCAAGACTGTAGCTCACACAAACACTTCCAAAAACGGCCCCAACACCACGTCCCTTACACCCTTGACCCCTGTAGCTCACTCTTTTTCCCTCAGACCCTCTCACACTCGCGCTTCCCCCCTCTCCTTCCCTCCCCTCTCCTTCCCCCACTCGCGCTTCCCTCCCTGTCCTTCCCTCCCTGTCCTTCCCTCCCTGTCCTTCCCTCCCAGTCCTTCCCCCCCTCTCCATCCCCCCCCCTCCTCCCTTCCCAATCCACACCTCTCGATGCAAGTCCGTCTCCCGAAGCTCCAGCTTCGGCGGCTCGTCATCCTCATCGTCAGGCTCGGCATCAGCCTCGGGATTAGCCTCGGGGGACTTGAGCAGGCGGGCAAGGGTTTGGGAGAGGCTTTCGGCCGAAGACAGGAGGAGCTGGACGAGAGATCGTTGGTCGGGGGTGAGTGAGCGCGAATTGAGAAGGAAGTCGGTCACGCTGATCATTGCTGGTAACGGGAAAGGGGATGATTGAACAAAAGGAAGGAAGGGGAGAAGAGGGGAGTCAAAAGTTTGGGAGAGGCTTTCGGCTGAAGACAGGAGGAGGTGGACGAGAGATCGTTGGTCGGGGTGAGTGAGTGAGCGAGCGCGAGTTAAGGAGAAAGTCAGTCACGCTGATCATTGCTGGAAGGGGGAGTGAAGGGGAGAAGGGAGGGAAGGGGAAGCAAGGTATGAGAGAGGAGGAGCTGGCTGGACGAGAGACCCTTGGTCGGGGGGTGAGCGAGCGAGCGAGCGCGAGTTGAGGAGACAGTTGGTCACGCTGATCATTGCTGGGAGGGAAGAGGGTGGATGGAAAGGAGGAGGGAGAGCAGCGATCGGTTACCAACAGGGGTTTGGGAGAGGATTTCGGCTGAGAAGAGGAGGAGCTGGACAAGGGACCTTTGGTTGGGGGGTGAGTGAGCGCGATTTGAGAAGGGTTTAGGGTTTCTGGGCTAGGGGGAACCCTAAAGCAGGGAGAAGTGACATTGTCCATGGCTGACGGGGGGGGGTGTGAAAGGGGGGGGGGCGAATGGGAAAATGGAGCGGGCACGGCACCTACACTTCAGCAGTATGTTTCTTCAGGCGCCTAAAAAACAGGCGCCTCCACTTCAACAGTATGACACTCTCTCCCATTGCCCCCACCTCCTCACCTCCCCCAACCTACCGTTGAGCGGCATGGCGATTTCCCTCGTGAGCGATGCCATGAGGGCGGCGTGCCTTGTCTTTAGCTCCTCCTGCAGCTCCAGGGCCGTTCTCTGGCGCACTTCGCGCCCGACCTGCTCCTCCACCTCGCCCCTCACCAGCGCCCTCAGCACCTTTGTATCCTCCTCGCCGAGCTGCGCCAGACTCACAGGGGCAGCGGCAGTTCCCGCAGCGGCAATAGCAGCAGGAGCAGCGGTTGGAGCAGCGGAGAGAGCATATAGGTCAGTTAAATTGGGGTGGTTCTTGCCGCTGCCCGCTGTGGCAGCAGCAGCGTAGAGATCAGCCAGACCCACTGCCCCACTACTGCTGCCCCATCCTCCACTCCCTCCCACCCTACGCCCTCCTCCCCTCTCCCCAGACAACCCACTGCCGACTTGCTCCCCAGGACCAGCAGCAGCAGCAGCAGCAGCAGCGGAAGAAGAAGCGAGTGTGGAGGAGGAGGGGAGGTCCCGGACAAGCAGAGTGACACTATCGGCACCGGGTTCGGGTGGGGGGACGGTGACAGCAGCAGCACCAGCAGGAAAACTAGCAGCAGCAGCAGCAGCCAGCAGCAGCAGCAGTTACGGAATCAGAAGGTGTGGCATGGGAGAGGGCGAGGGGCGGCACAGCCACGAGCTGCACGGAGACGGCAGCACCGGCGTGGCTGGCGAGAGTGAGCTGTAGCGGGGGAGGTGGCTTCTGGTGCAGGTGGAGGGGGAGCGCGGCTGAGTGAACCATCTGAGACACGAGGAGCAGCCACGCCTGGGGTGAGTGATTCGGGGAGTTGGTGGTGGCGGGGGGGGGGGGGAAGGGGGAAAAGGGGGGGTTGGTGGGGTGGGGGGGGGAAAGTGCAGAGAGAACCATCTGAGACACGAGGAGCAGCCACGCCTGGAGTGATTCGGGGAGGGGGGGTGGGGGGGGGGCGGGATGGGGGGGCGTGGCTGGGAGCCCCATCTGAGACATGAGCAACAACCCTGCCTGGGGTGATTCGGGTTGGGGAGGGGAGAAAGGCGGGAAGAAGGGCGAGGAAGGAGGAAGGAAGGCCCTAAGGAGGAGTAGGGCGAAAGGCGGGTTTGAATAAAGAGTGGTAGAGGAGAGGGAGAGCAGCAGAGTGAAGCACTCAGGACACGACAGCTGTAGTAGCCACGCCGGGCAAGACGTGGCTCCCATACGGGCCGTGCTTTGAGGGAGTTGCCCCACAGCATGTCCTCGCTGGGGCACCTCAGAATCAGGGCCAGGTACGTCATGGGGTTCTTGCCCCCCCCATACCATGAACACGTTGACTTGCGATTTGCACCTCGAATCTAGGCACGTGCAGCGGGCACAGGGAGTCGCAGAGCGAGTTGCCCCACAGCATGTCCTCACGGGGGCACCTTAGGGCTAGGTACAACGACCTGATGCCCTTCGGGCCATACCTCGAACTTGGGCACGTGCTGCGGGCACAGGGAGTTGCAGAGCGAGTTGATTTTTGAGGTTCCTCAAAGAGTCTATTTTTGAGGCGCCTCAAAAATAGACTCCTCGAACTTGGGCACGTGGTGCGGGCACAGGGAGTCGCAGAGCGAGTTGCCCCACAGCATGTCCTCACCGGGGCACCTCAAGAATCAGGGGTAGGTACGTATCGAGTGATTACACTCAACCTCGAACACGCGTTGAGCCCCATACCTCAAACTTGGGCACGTGTTGAGGGCAGAGGGAGTCGCAGAGCGAGTTGCCCCACAGCATGTCCTCGCTGGGGCACCTCAGCGCAGCAGCAGCAGCGCCGTTGCAGCTGATGACCCGGGAGAACACGGCCGGTGACACCAGCAGCTGCAGCTGGCCTATGGAGGGCGACCCAGCCCTGGAGAGGAGAGGAAGGGTGGGGGGGTGTGGAGGGTGGGTGAGGGACAGGAGAAGTGAGGGGCAGCAGCAGCAGCAGCAGCAGCAGCGCCGTTGCAGCGGATGACCCGGTAGAAGTCCGCTGGTGACACCAGCAGCTGCCGCTGGCCTATGGAGGGCGACCCAGCCCTGACCAAGGGGAAGGGGAAAGGGAAGGAGGGGGGGGGGGTGGTGAGGGACAGGAGTGAGGGGCAGCAGCAGCAGGTAGAGCGCCATTGCAGCTAGCCAATGACTCAAGATAGGAATGCTGGTGACACGACTAGCTGCTGGCCTGCTGCTGCCAAAAGAGGAGTCGCCGTACCAGGAAAAGGGGAGGAGTCGCCGTACCAGGAAAAGAGGAGGATAGGCCGTACCTGTAGAGCGCAAGGGCGTCGTCACCAGCTGAAGCATCAGGGGGCTCCGTTGTGCCGCCAGCCACAGCAACTGCTAGATCCCCATCCCTGGCCTCACCAGCCATAACTAGTTGATTCCCCTCACTCTTGGCCACAACACCCCGCTCCTGCCCCTTCTCCCCACCCTTCTTCAGTGCACTTTCTTTTCCCTTCTCCTGTCCCTGTGACGCTGCCCGCCGGTGGTTCCTCCCTGGGACCAGCTCTGCCAGCGACCCAGACTTGGTCCTCCCGCTCTTCTTCTTCCCGCCACTCTTCCCTCCCTTCCCACCTCCACCTCCCCCTCGGGACCCCTCCCCTGCACTCGAATCAGTACCTGTTTCCCCTCCTCCTCCTCCTCCTGCTCCTCCTCCTCCTGCTCCTCCTCCTCCCCCTCCTCTTGAGTCCGCCTCCCTTCCACGCCCTTCCCCGTCCCTTTTCCCCAGCCCCTTTCCTTCTCCCTTTGCCCCCTTCTTGCTTTTCTTTGGAGATTTTGGCACCCTGTCAGAACCTGTGCCATCAGCCTCACCATTCTCTTTAGCAGCTGTCTCTTTACTGTCACTGTCGCTAAGAATGGCAGGAGGAGCAAGCGGGGCTACGCCAGAGCAGCTGAAGCTCCCCCCTGGGAGGGGACTGTAGAGGTCTATGTCTAGCCGAGCCGCAGTTGCACCTGAAGCACCTGAGGCACCTGAAGCTCCTGAAGCCCCTGAGGCACCAGAAACACCTGAAACGCCTGAGGCACGTGACGGAACTGAGATGGTTATGGTACCATCATCAGCAAGCTTGGACCCAAAATCCATGGCAGGTGTAGCAGCCCCCATATTGCTGCCCGCTGACCCTTCATCTCCACTATTTTCCCTCCCACTTCCCCCCAACCCTCTGCCTCCTCCGCCTCCTCCGCCTCCTCCGCCTCCTCCGCCTCCCCCCTCACCACTCTCCCCCCCTGCATTCCCTCCCCCCACCCCTGCTACACCGCCTGTGCCTCTAGCGCCCGAGGCCCCGCTGGCGTCACTGGCAACTGAGCTAGCAGAGGACACTGAGAGCCTTCGCACACGTTGACCCTGCTGCTGACTTTGATCTTGAACCTGCTGCTGCTGCTGCTGCTGCAGACCCTGCTGTAGACCCTGCGGTCCCAGCTGGCCCTGCTGCTGCTGTGCTGCTGCCCCTGCTCCCCACCCAGTTGGCGCCGCTGCTGCTGGGGCTGCACCCGCTGCTGAGGTGGTACCCATAGTTATAGCAGCACTGGCACCAGCAGCAGCACTAGCACCGGCATCCGCACCAGCTCCTTCCCCCTCTCTCCCACGTGTGCCTGGGCCCACTCTTCCCCCTCTCCCGCCCATTCCAAACCCCCTACCTCCTCCCTCACCCCTCCCACCCCTCCCGCCCCTCCCGCCTCTCCCACCCCCTCCCCCTCCCCCACCACCACCACCACCACCAGCGCCTGCACTAACCGCAGTGCCACCACTCCCGCCACCAGGGCCACCAGCCCCAGAGCCAGAACCGCCAGCGCTAGCACCCGCACCAGGGCGCATGCGCCTGCGCCCGCCAGCCTCGCTCTCCACGTCCCCCTCTTCCCCATCCTCTTGCGCGTCCTTCCCCCCCCCAACCGCCTCGCCCTGCCCTCCCCGCCTCCCCTCCTCGCCTTCATTGCCAGCCATTCCCGGGTCTCTCAACTGCCCTTGCGCTTGCGCCTGCCCTTGCGCCTGAAATTGCGACCCCCTCATTCCCCCACCTCGGCCTGCTAACGGACTCCGTATGCCGAGCTGCTGCTGCTGGCGCTGCTGTACTTGACGCCCCTGCAACTGCACGGGTGGATGTGGCTGCTGCTGCTGCTGCCGACCGCCAATCTCCCACGTCCCCACCGCGCCCTCTGGCAACACTCCCCCCTTGTGCATCGGTACAAACGCCTCCCCGGATCCTACCCGGTGCATTCCCCCCCTAGTAGGCGCAGCCACTTTTTCTGTGCTCAGATCCAAACTCCTCCCCCGTTCCGCCTTAAATACATCCTTCCGCTGCTGCTGGAGCGGCGCCAGGGGCCCGTATCCCGCGCTAGTCACCCCCCGCCCCGTTCCCCCACCATCAGACGCGGAACCCTCCTCCCTCTCCGCGGACCCCCGTTCCAGAGCCCCCCTCTGCGCCTGAGCCTGCGCCAGCCTATTCGCGGCCGCCATTCGCGCAGCAGCAGCCGCGGGATTACTCATGGCGGAAACCCTGTCCCTGTCTTCCTCTGAAGTAGACCGCGGGTGCAGCGGCGGCGGTTGCTGCATGCAATGCGGACTTGACACGAGCGGAGGCGGACCGAATCCCCGCCCGGGACTGCTCACTCCCCCCACCCCTCCCCCTGGAGCGCTTCCCCCTGCTGCGCCTGGTGCGCCACCCCCGGGGCCAGGTCCGCTGGGCAGTCCCCGCGCCCAGTGCGGTGCGTCTTCCGCCGCGCTGCTCCCCGTGCTGCTTCCGCTTCCCCCCCCCCGGACGAACCCCGAGCTGCCCTGCTTCTCGCTGTAGGATCGGCGCATCATGCTGCGCGGAGGGGGAGTGCTTGCTCCGGGCTCCGCATTGCTGGCGGGCGGGAAGAAAGAGCGAAAATTGGGCGGAGGAGTGAAGTAAGCGAGCTTGGGGCGCCTCAATCAGCACTGGGGAAGCGACAAGAGGAGGGGGGAGATTAACAAATAGAACAAAACGGTGTTTGGAGGGTACAGCTGCAACGCGGCGCTGGTGGCGCTAGCACAATTCGACATGCCTCTCCGCACGAGATACCATATATACGCGTAACGGCAATTTATCTCATCCGCGTACCAGCGTTAGAATTCACTTAGCTCACGGACGTAACGATTCAGCCAATACGCATACCCAGAAGGCTGATTCCGACTGCCTCGCCCGCCAATCGGATGCCTGCCTGGGGTCATACTGTCCTGGCTCGGGCCATTCTGGGGCCGCTGCCGCGTGGTCGGATGCTGCGGACTATCCACCCGCAGCTGCTGCTGCTGCTGCTGCTGCAGTTGTTGTTGTTGTTGCTGCTGCTGCTGCTGCTGGCGTTGAGGGGAGGGGGATAGTCTCTGCACGAAATGAGGCTGCTTGGGCTGCTGCGGATGGCGCGGTTGCTGCGGGGGATGCGGTCCCGCCTGCATCTGCTGCTGCTGCGACTGCATTTCGCTCCAACTACTCTACGTCCCCTAGCGGTCTAGACTGCGCTTAGGGTTGTCTTCACAGCCGTTAGCTAAAGCCATCTCTCGCGTCAGGCTTCCTGCTGCTGGTGCTGCAGATGCTGCTGCTAGTATCAGTGTGATAGAGCAAGATTGAGTGATCGCCAGATCGTGAGGCTTGTTTTAGTCGCCAAACGGTGACAGTTGGGAATTAAGAACCATATCCGTCGCGAATTGTCGCACGTTGCTTATGAGCCACCATACTTCAAGTACATGCCAAGTGATAATACAAAGAATCTCTTTTCAGCTTAGTTCGCAAGCTGAAGCAGCCCTGAGGAGAAGGAACCAAGGTGGCCTGAGGATAATCGAGGCAACCACTAGGACTGGAACACAAGTAGCGGCTGTCGTCTGAGGGTACCAGTTCAAGCTGAGAGTGGAGCATGATGCACCTCACAAGAGGTCACTTTCAGCTCGTTTACTACGGTTATGTAAGGTGCATTTTGTTCCGACGGGTTATGTTTTGATTCTAGAGTGGTTGAATAGACTTCTCAGAGAGATCACGTGACACTTCTCGAGACAAGAGACCACTTTTTCCGTTCGGGAGGAATTGTTCCGCCCTGCGACGCACAACCAACCAACAAGCAGCCATACCCCTCGGATTTGGTTTGTCCAGACCAGAGTTCGTAAACCCAAGGCAGGGGGTTCAGCAGCGATGGTGCTGACTGAACCCCCTGGTTCGGTGGTTTGGTGGTGGTTTGTCGAGCTTTGATGCTGGTTCGGTGGTTTGGTGTGGTGTGCTGACTGTGGGAGGTTGGTAAGGGGAACAGAGTGAAATGATTGCAGGACAGTACAGGGTGGTTAGTGTTCTAACAAACACAAAATTCAAATGGGAGTGCAGGATACATCACACAAGATTTCACCGACCTGACCGAATTTCGGAAGCGGCCAACCAACCGCGAATGCTAAGTCTCGCCCATTGGAGCACCCAACCAACCGCGTGACCTGGCGCTCATTCCTTGTCCCTGCTGTAACTGCCCGTGACCCGAATCGAGTCACGCGTTTGTTGGGGGGAGGCCATGACGCGAAGTTACGAAAACTTTGTGTCAGACAGGAACACGGCATGAATCCAGTTTCTCAGGCAACTTGTTCTTCCTGAGGACTATGTTTCTCTCGTCCGAGCCAAACTGGTCTGTCTGGCCCTAACTACCAAACCTCACCGCTCCAGCACAACTTTCCCCATGCCTCCCAATGTAATATATATTTCTCCCGCTAGTTTTTCTAAGCGAGAAACTGTACCGACAGTAGTACACCTGCCGTAATGAAATGGCAGTACATCACATCCCCCTTAAGCTTGTCCGTAGTGAAGCCCCCCAGTTCGTGTCCCAAGAGTGCGTCCACCGTACAAATGTACAGGTCCGATAAGGTGCCCCAGGGTTCAAAGAGTTGATGCAGAAAATCCGTTTCCCACCGTGTTGCAACGTATATCACCACACACAGTGCTTGCGGGTCGCACTCTTGGGACACGCCCTCAGCCAGCATCCTTGAGATCATCCCCACCTCGTGGGCTAAATGATCAAGCCACCTTTCCTTTTGACTAGTCACTCCCTTATCCACCATAGTCCTAGCCAAAACAGTTCGCCGAGCTGATTCCACACGCCTTCGGCTTCCTGAGTTAGCTGCTCCTCCGATCCGCGTATTTTTAGTGCCTTATCCGGCCACAATGTCCGGGGGATCAGCATCAGGTATTATGATCATCGATCTCAGAACTAAGTTCGCTCAGGCCTGATATTTTTCTCGTTGAAACTGATCTGGCGCGATCGCCGTCGTCTGTGTGAATGGTGAGCAGGAGCGGCGCAGGAATGGCCGGCGACGCGCGTGCGCGACACGTTTCTGCAGTTCTTCAAGGATCGCGCGCACTCGCATGTGCCGTCGAGCCTCGTCGTCCCGCTCGACGACCCCACGCTGCTCTTCGCTAACGCCGGTCAGTGGCCTCTGTGCCTTTGTTATACATACGCGACGGCTCGTTGTTAGTGCCATCGAACAGCGATGGTCTCTAGTTGACCCGTGATCCCGCTCGACGATCGCACGCGGCTCTTCGCCATCGCCGGTCAGCGCGCTCGTTATAGCGGCGCGACGTTCTCTCAGTACCACCTAAGAACCATTGACGAGACTTCGCCTAGGTTCACTCCCACGCCGCTTATCGTCAATGCCGATCAGTGCTTTCAATGCCGTCGCCGACGGCAACAACAGGAGCGACGGTCTGCCGTAGACACTGAGCGCCCTCGCTTCGTCGTTCAGCCTTGTTTCCTCCTGGTTCCAGCTCACTCCGTTCAGCCTTATTCCCGCCGATCGCTACGTTAGCGTCGATGTCAACCTTTATGTCAACATCCGTGCCAACATCCGTGTCAACATCCGTGTCAACATCCGTGCCAACATTCAACGTTCGATCCCGCTCTTCCCGTGGATCTTGAAGCCCGCGGCTCAGGATCTCGTCCTGTCCGTGATCTCATTGTCGTTAGCATTCACTCGTGCGTCCCAATCTCTCCCCCTCTCTCCCCCCTCTCTCCCCCCCTCTCCCCCCCTCTCCCCCCCTCTCCCCCCTCTGTTCTCCTTCCCCCCCCCCCCCCCAGGCATGAACCAGTTCAAGCCCATCTTCCTGGGCACAGTGGACCCTCGCAGCCCCCTGGCGTCCCTGAAGCGCGCCGTGAACTCGCAGAAGTGCATCCGCGCGGGCGGCAAGCACAACGACCTGGACGACGTGGGCAAGGACACGTACCACCACACCTTCTTCGAGATGCTCGGCAACTGGTCGTTCGGCGACTACTTCAAACAAGAGGCCATCACGTGGGCCTGGGAGCTGCTTACTCAGGTACGCCTACGTGCGCGCTCAGGTGCTCGTCTGTCCGGCCGCTCGGAAGTTCGCTTGGCAACTGGCCGTTCGGGGCCCAGTTGCCCAGCATCTCGAGTTGCCCAGCACGACAACTCGAGATGCTGGGCAACTGGCCGTTCGGGGATTACTTCAAGCAGGAGGCCATCACCTGGGCCTGGGAGCTGCTTACTCAGGTATGCGCACTAGGGTATTCGCTTAGATACCCCTGCTATCTGCCTGCTCACGTGTCGCTGCCTCATTACATGTGCTACAGTTGAAACTGACTTCTGGTCGTCAACCCTCCTCTCCCCGCCCATTCTGTTTTGTACCTCTTGTGTCACTGCGTCAGGTGTACAAGCTTCCCGAGGATCGGCTCTATGCCACCTACTTTGGCGGGGACGAGAAGCTAGGCTTGGAACCGGACCTGGAGGCTCGGGACATCTGGCTGACCGTGCTCCCAGCCAGTCGCGTGCTGCCCTACGGCTGCAAGGTTTGCTCCTCGTGCTGCAGGTTTTCACTCTTGAAAGCTCTTTTGTACGTATCACTAGTTACTGCTGTAGTGGGGAATGGGCGACACATTGGTGGTGTGGCAGCCATGCATTCACATTCAGCACTGACTCTTGCTCTCACACTCATTTTTGCTCTCACTCATTTTTGCTCTCACACTCAATTTTTCTCTCACTCGTTTTTGCTCTCACACTCATTTTTGCTCTCACACTCATTTTTGCTCTCACACTCATTTTTGCTCTTACACTCATTTTTGCTCTTACAATCATTTTTGCTCTCACTCATTTTTGCTCTCACACTCATTTTTGCTCTCACACTCATTTTTGCTCACTCATTCTTGCTCTCACACTCATTTTTGCTCTCACACTCATTTTTCCTCTCACACTCATTTTTGCTCTCACACTCATTTTTGCTCTCCCACTCATTTTTGCTCTCACACTCATTTTTGCTCACACTCATTTTTGCTCTCTCACTCATTTTTGCTCTCCATACTCATTTTTGCTCTCACACTCATTTTTGCTCTCACCATTTTTGCTCTCACACTCATTTTTGCTCTCACTCATTTTTGCTCTCACTCATTTTTGCTCTCATACTCATTTTCGCTCTCATTCTTGCTCTCATGCTTGCATTGGGACCCATGCATGCGTGTGCGTGCAGGACAATTTCTGGGAGATGGGCGACACGGGTCCGTGTGGGCCATGCACGGAGATCCACTTTGACCGGCTGGGCGGCCGGGATGCAGCAGCGCTGGTGAACGCCGACGACCCCACGTGCATTGAGATCTGGAACAACGTGTTCATCCAGGTGGGAGAGATGGCCAGGTGAGAGCGTTGTCCAGATGATTGTTTGTTGATTCTGAAGTCATTCCTGAAGTGCTCATCCCACGGGCGCTGACATCTGGACTGGTTTTTGAGTCGACTCAAAAATCATCCCACGGGCGCTGACATCTGGACTGGACGAACGTGCTCATCCAGGTGAGGGAGTGCGCCGCTCAAGCAAGATGGTTTTTTTTTTTTTTTTTTTTTTTTTTAAATTTAATTTCAAGGCGACTTGAGGTTGACGGATATCACGTGCATCGTGTATATTGAGATCTGGAACAACGTGTTCCCTCCATTTCATTTAACCGCTCAGGTGGTTCCTGTTTCATTTCTTAGGCGTCTCAAGCGGTTATCAGTATCATAAATGCCTCCACAATCTCGTATTATTTGTTCCTGATGGGATTCCCGACCTCACGCCTCTGTCACCCACCCCTCACCTCACCTGCAGTTCAACCGTGAGGCGGATGGCACGCTCAAGACGCTGCCTGCGAAGCACGTGGACACGGGCATGGGCTTCGAGCGCCTCACGTCCATCCTGCAGAACAAGCTGAGCAACTACGACACGGATGTGTTCATGCCCATCTTCGAGGCCATCCAGAAGGTCTGGCGAGGAGTGAAGAGGGGTGAAGAGAGAGGATAGTGGGTTGGGCAGGTTTCAGCTGAGCAACTACGACACGGACGGATGTGTTCATGCCCATCTTCGAGGCCATCCAGAAGGTGAGGTGCTGGGGAGATAAACGAGAGGGGGAGAGGGGGGGGGGGAGATGGGGGGGAGAGTGGGGAGGGTAGTATTGGTTGGCGGGGAAGCAGGCAGCTCAGCAGCAACTACGACACGGACGTGTTCACGCCCATCTTCAAGGCCATTCAGAAGGTGGGCGGTGGGGGCGACAGAGAGTGGGGGGATACGGGGATGCAGCTTTGAGAGGTGGGGGGGGGGAGGAAAGGGGTTGAATCGAAGCTCGGCAACAATGAAATCGACCAAGATAATTGCCAACTATGAAGCCCTTTTTTATGCCTCTCAGACGGGTGGGTTGACACGGAACGGAATGGGGTCGAATAGGTTCGCAGCTTAGCCGAACTGTGATCCGTCGAGCTAGGTTAAGGCTGAGTTGGTGGGTGGGTAGCTGTGGCCAGGGCGGCATTGCCGGACTATGGCGTATCTGTCTGTTTCACCTTTCGCTGTGCTCCTTCCTTCCATGGCCCCCGTTTTGTATCACCCATGGCTGTTGGCTGCCTGTCAGGTGACGGGAGCAGCGCCCTACGAGGGCAAGCTGGGCAAGGAGGATGTGGGCAGCAAGGGCATGGCGTACAGAGTTGTTGCGGACCACATCCGCATGCTCACCGTTCATCCACACACCCCCCCCCCCCCCCCCCCCCCCCCCCCCCCCCCCCCCCCCCCACATCAGGTGACAGGGGAACAAGGACGACGAGGGCTCCTTTCACGCTCGCCTTTCAGCACCTTACAGGGTCGTGGCGGACCATAACCACATCCGCACCCTCTTATTTGCCATTGCTGACAGCGTCCTCTTCCCTGTACATTCATTTTCCCTTGCTTGTGTTTTCGTCCTTTTCTTTTCCACAATCAGGTGACGGGGGCAGCACCCTATGAGGGCAAGTTGGGCAAGGAGGACACGGGAAACAAGGACATGGCGTACAGGGTCGTGGCAGACCACATCCGCACTCTCTCCTTCGCCATTGCTGATGGTGCCCGGCCCGGCAGTGAGGGCCGCGACTATGTGCTCAGGCGCATCCTGCGCCGCGCGGTTAGATACGGGCGTGATGTGCTGGGCGCTCAGGAGGGCTTCTTCAGCACGTGAGTGACTGCCGCCTCATGAGTCATGAGTGTGGTTACGCCAGGCAATGCAGCGAGGGCCACGACTACGTGCTCAGGCGCATCCTGCGCTGCGCGGTTAGATACGGGCGTGACGTGCTGGGCGCCCAGGAGGGCTTCTTCAGCACGTGAGTGACTGCCGCCTCATGAGTGTGGTTAGGCCAGGCAATGCAGCGAGGGCCACGACTATGTGCTCAGGTCAGGCGCACCCTGCGTTGTAATGAGTCGATTTTTGAGTCGACTCAAAAATCGACTCATTACACCGCGACTACGTGCTCAGGTCAGGCGCATCCTGCGTTGTGTGGTTCAATATGGGCGTGATGTGCGGGGCGCCCAGGAGGCGCCAAGGAGGGCTTCTTCAGCACGTGAATGTGTGGCAACGCATGAGAGTGTGTGTCAGCTAAGGAGTGCTCCACGCTTTCACTCACGTGGAAGATTTCACCCCTTGCTGCACCCCTTGTTTCACCCCTTGCTTCACCCCTTGCTGCACCCCTTGCTGCACCCCTTGCTGCACCCCTTGCTTCACCCCTTGCTTCACCCCTTGCTTCACCCCTTGCTTCACCCCTTGCTTCACCCCTTGCTTCACCCCTTGCTTCATGGAACGGCACAACGAAACCCCCCCAAACACACCACCCCCCTCCTCTCCCTCCACCCCACCCCCCAGTCTGGTGCCCATGTTTGCTGACCTCATGGGCCACACCACACCTTCCCCGAGCTGAGAGGTGCAGAATGCTCTCCTTCCCTTCCGTGCTGCAGCCATTTCCCCTCAACACACTATGTTCCGTCCTTCCCTCCCTCCCTCCCCCCCTCCGCCCAGTCTGCTGCCCATGTTTGCTTTGCAAACCTTTCCCTCAGCTGAGCTGATGGCCGACACCCTCCCCGAGCTGAGAGGCGCATTACTCTCAATCAAAACCTCCCCCTGCCCTCCCTCCCTCCTCCCATATGCCCTCCCCAACCCCCAGGCTGGTGCCCATATTCGCTGACCTCATGGGCCACACCTTCCCCGAGCTGAGAGGCAGGAGAATTCCCAACCAACTTCCTTTGCTGCAACCAACCCCCCTCCTTCCCGCCCTCCCTCCACCCTGCAGTCTGGTGCCCATGTTCGCTGACCTCATGGGCGACACCTTCCCCGAGCTGAGGAAGAACGGGGAGCGCATTAAGGAGATCATAGGCGAGGAGGAGGTGGCGTTCGGCCGCACGCTACAGAAGGTGGGTGGTTCTTAGGTATCTCTCCCTTGTTTAGGGTGGACGAAAGGTGGATTGACAGAGACATCCGAGATGTGTAAAGGAGTGTGAGGTGGGTGAAGGAATGTGAGGTGGGTGAAGGAGTGTGAGGTGGGTGAAGGAGTGTGAGGTGGGTGAAGGAGTGTGAGGTGGGTGAAGGAGTGTGAGGTGGGTGAAGGAGTGTGAGGTGGGTGAAGGAGTGTGAGGTGGGTGAAGGAATGTGAGGTGGGTGAAGGAATGTAGAGGGGGATGCCTTGAAGTGCACTCTCTGCAGTAAGGTGGGGGATCGAGGAACATTCAAGTGTTCCACTGCTTGAAGCACAACTGTTCCATCCCTGCCATCATATGCCCCCTCCCTTCCTGCTTCCCTTCCCCGCCTAATTCCAGGGCCTGCAACGGTTTGAGAAGTCTGCCATCATCTGCCTTCCCTTCCCTGCCATCATCTGCCCCCTCCATCCTTCCCTCCTTCCCTTCCCCGCCTAATTCCAGGGCCTGCAACGGTTTGAGAAGTCTGCCTCTGAAGTGAAGGACGGCAAGCTGAGTGGCCAGGTGAGGAAAGATGCAGTGTTGTGGGATGCGGTGGTGGTGTGTGTGTGCTGGTGTGAGTTGTGGCTGTTGTGATTAGGGTGGAGGCAGTGGCTCATCCTGTGGCGTCCCTGTCGTTCTTTCCCGGTCTTCTCCTTCCCTCCCACGGTCCCAGCCCCCTGCTCGACTTTTCTTCCCTCCTCGCTATCTAACCCGCCTTCCAATTCTCCCACAAACGCAGGACGCCTTTGTGCTGTAGGTCACCTTCAGCTTGTTTTGCGGGGCTTCAGAATCAGTCTCCCCCCTCCTCCCTCTCTGCTCCTCCCATTCGCCCAATCTTTCATTCCCCCCCCCACCCCACCACTCACAGGACGCCTTTGTGCTATGGGACACCTTCGGCTTCCCTGTTGATCTCACCCAGGTACGTTGTGTTGTGCGTTGAGTGCGCTGCAATGTGTTTGGTTTTTTTTAACTCTCAAAAGCCTCACCCAGGTACGTTGTGTTGTGCGCTGAGTGGGCCGCGATTTGACTTTTGAGTCGACTCAAAAGTCATCTCAGTTTCCCTGTTGACCTTCCCCAGGCAGGTACGTTGTGCGTTGAGTGCGCCGCGGTTTTTACCAGGCATTTGACCCACCCATGTTCGTCATGAGTGCGTCTGCCTCCCTCCCTATGTGTGTGTCTCTCCCTGTTTTGAAAACAGCCTCTGCCAACGCCCCTCTGGCAAGTGTGTAATGTCTCCCGTTACCTCGTCCTTCTCTCCCCTCTCTGTGGATAGATATGCCTGCCAAACTATCTCTGGGCATGGCAGCTACATACTATCTGCAACACCCTTTGCCCCTTTCTCCTTTTCATCCCCCCCCCTCACCTCCCCTCCCTCCAAACCACCAGCTGATGGCGGAGGAGAAGGGCCTGTCGGTGGACATGGCGGCATTTGAGCAGGCCATGACCGACGCCAGGGAGATGTCGCGAGGGGCCCGCAGCAAGGTGAGCGTGTGGGGCCCGCAACAAGGTGAGCGTGTGGGGCCCGCAGCAAGGTGAGGGGCCCGCAGCAAGGTGAGCTCGTGAGGGAGGGGAGGATTCTGGAGAAGCACTGCACTGCACTGCACTGCACTGCACAGCATCATGTGATGTGATGTGAGCGAGGCTCGCTGACTTCGCGACTGATTCCGCTGCTCTTTTTCTCATGTCTCTCCCTCTACTCCTCCCCTTATTCAGCAGCGAAGCTGTTCTTGTGATGTGCTATCTCTGTGCAGGGCGGAGCAGCCGATGGAGGCGGAGCAACTTGCTTCTGTTGCTGAATGAAACGATCTGCTTTTGTTTTTTGTCTGTCTGCTTCTGTTGTTTGTCTGTCTGCTTCTGCTTGCAGAGCAGGGTGGGCACGTTGGTGATGGAAGCAGATGCGACAGCAGAGCTGCAGAAGAGGGGGGAGTCGCACCCTCAACCAATGACTCTCCTTCTCCTCTACCCCTTTCCTTTTGGCGTGCTGCTCCTCTTGCTTGCAGGGCGAAGCCAGTGCGGTGGTGACGGAGGCAGAGGCGACAGCAGTAGCAGATCAGAGCTGGGCAGGTTCCGTTAAAAGATGGTTCAGTTCAACTCGTTGCAAGTATGTGCTTCTGTTATCTGCTTGCTTGCAGGGAGGAGCTGGAGCGTTGGTGATGGAGGCAGAGGCAACAGCAGAGCTGCAGAAGAGGGGGATCGCTCCCACTGATGACTCCGCAAAATACGTGTGGCGCCAGGTGAGGCTCGGGTCATCTGCTGCCTTCAGATAGCACCTGAAGGGGCATTGCCATTTCGTTCCAGGTGGGATACAGCCTGACATGGGCATGAGCCGAGCCTGGCTCGGCTCGCCTCGAGCCGGGACCTCAGGATCCCCGGCTCGGCTCGTGAAAATGGGGTCGAGCTGGGGCCGGCTTGGCTCGGCTCGTCAGGGGGGCTTGTGTGGGCTCTCCATTGGGGCCACGCGGTTTGGGGTCTCTAGTCCGGGGCCTGGTCCAGATTGTTGAGCTGATCGTCTGCTTCTACATTTTGCAAAACTCTCAGGAGGTGCTGCAGGTTTAAATAGGGCTGGCTGAGGGCGATAGACTAGGGCGACAGGGCGAGGTTGGGATTGGCAGACGAAATGGGCGCGGGGGGGTTTGTCTATCTGAAATTTGACAGTCGCTTAACCCTCCCTTTTCCGAGCCGCGAGCCGGCTCGACTCCAGCTTACCTGATTTTGCGTGCACGAGCCGAGCCAAGCCGCCGTGTCGAGCCGAGCCGGGTACAAGAAAGGCGAGCCGAGCCGAGCCAGGTGTGGCTCGGCTTGTGCCCATGTCTTCATACAGGTAGTTGATAAATACACATTGCCACCAGGTGCGGTACTGATCAGTCTTGCTTCTTTGCACTCTACACCCACCCAGGTTGACCCACTTTCCACATCACACCCCCACCACCCCCTCCCTCCCCCTTCGTCGTCGTTTACCCGTACATCCACACATCCCAAACTCCTCTTTTCTGCAACCCCCCGTGCGTGCCTCTTATCCCTCAGGATCACTTCACCACTGTCTGCTTCATCTGCTTTTGGATCGACTCAAAGGCACTGAATTGAACCCACTTTCCACGCCACACCCCCGCCACCCCCTCCCTCCCCCCTTCCTCGCCGTTTACCCATACATCCACACTCCCCAAACTCGTCGTTTCTGCAAACCCCCATGCCTCTTTTCTCTCAGGATCGCTCCACCACTGTCTGCTCCATCTTCACCCCCTCCGGCTATCGTGCAATCCCCACCCCACCCGATCACCACTACCTTCTCTACCCTTTCACCCTCACATCAGCCCCTCAGTTCCCGCCCTTCCCCCCCCCCCCCCCCCCCCCCCCCTCTCCTCCCCTCCCCATCCTCTTACCTCTGCAGGATCACCCCACGACTAGTTTTGAGGCGCCTCAAAACTAGACTCCCATCTCTCTCCCCCCCCCTTGTTCTCCCCCCCCCCTGTCCTCCCTTCCCCATCCTCTTTCTTTCTGCAGGATCACCCCACAACTGTCCGTGCCATCTTCACGCCCTCCGGTTTCGTCGAATCAGTGGCCGCCACGTCATCAGATGATGCACAGGCGGAAATCGGCCTCATCCTGACGAGCTCGAGCTTCTACGCGGAGCAGGGCGGGCAGATCTTCGACACCGGCGCTATGATTATCGGGGACACTAGTAACGGGGATGCCAGATTCGAGGTCCGCTCTGTCCAGGTGTACGGCGGCTACGTGCTGCACATCGGCGTGGTGACAGGTGGCAGCGTGGCAGTGGGTGAGGCGGCGGTGTGCCAGGTGGACTATGACCGGAGGGCGCTGGTGGCTCCCAACCACACGGCGACGCATCTGATGAACCACGCGCTGATGAAGGTTCTGGGCGACCACATCGACCAGAAGGGGTCTTTGGTGGCGGAGGATCGTCTTCGGTTTGACTTCTCTCATGGTACGTGCACCTTGTGCTTGCACTCCGCTTGAGCCCCCAACCCAACCGCACGGCCACGCATCTGATGAACCACGCGCTGAAGAAGGTTCTGGGCGACCACATCGACCAGAAGGGGTCCCTGGTGGCTGACGACCGTCTCCGGTTCGACTTCTCCCACGGTACGCACGTCTTGAGCTTGCACTCCAATTGAGGCCCCAACCGAACCACACGGCGACGCATCTGATGAACCACGCGCTGAAGAAGGCTCTGGGCAACCACATCGACCAGAAGGGGTCGCTGGTTGCTGATGACCGCCTACGATTCGACTTCTCTCATGGTGCGTATCTTGTGCTTGCCCGGTACACCTCTTGCTCTGGCACCGTGAGCTGTTGTTGAACCTCCAGCGCCACTGCACTCTGCACGGCCATGCATCTAATGAATGGAAACTCGTTTTGAGGCGCCTCAAAACCAGCGCCACTGCACTCTGCACGGCCATGCGTCTAATGAATGGAAACTCGTTTTGAGGCGCCTCAAACCCAGCGCCACTGCACTCTGCACGGCCATGCGTCTAATGAATGGAAACTCGTTTTGAGGCGCCTCAAAACCAGCGCCACTGCACGGCCATGCGTCTAATGAATGGAAACTCGTGCGTTTGGTGCGTGCAGGCAAGCCCATCGACCCCAAGGACCTGGGGAAGATCGAAGCAGAGGTGGTGGATCGAGTCAAGGCTGCTCTGCCCGTGTATGCCCTCGAGTCCAGCCTCGCCGATGCCAAGCGCATCATGGGGCTCAGAGCCGTGTTTGGAGAGGTGAGAGCGGTTTAGAGCGGTGCAATGCACGAGTGAGTGGTGGATTTAGACAGCTAAAGGCCGCTCTGCCCGTGTGTGCCCTCGAGTCCAGCCTGGCTGATGCCAAGCGCATCATGGGGCTCAGAGCGGTCTTTGGCGAGGTCAGAGCGGTGGAAAGCGGTGAGAGTGGTCAGGTTTCTTCAGGTCCACCCTGAGCGAATAAGCGTCATGTCGTGTCAGGTGTATTTTGAGTTGTGTCAGGTGTATTTTGAGTTGTGTCAGGTGTATATTGAGTTGTGTCAGGTGTATTTTGAGTTGTGTCAGGTGTATTTTGAGTTGTGTCAGGTGTATTTTGAGTTGTGTCAGCTGTATTTTGGGTTGTGTCAGGTGTATTTTGAGTTGTGTCAGGTGTGTTTTGAGTTGTGTCAGGTGTGTTTTGAGTTGTGTCAGGTGTGTTTTGAGTTGTGTCAGGTGTGTTTTGAGTTGTGTCAGGTGTATTTTGAGTTGTGTCAGGTGTATTTTGAGTTGTGTCAGGTGTATTTTGAGTTGTGTCAGGTGTGTTTTGAGTTCTGTCAGGTGTGTTTTGAGTTGTGTCAGGTGTATTTTGAGTTGTGTCTGGTGGGCATGCCAGTGGAGTGGAGCAGCTGCTGCAGGACTCGGAATGTGTCTCTGTGCCTCATATGTCTGCCTCATGTGTCTCTGTGCCTCATATGTCTGCCTCATGTGTCTCTGTGCCTCATATGTCTGCCTCATGTGTCTCTGTGCCTCATATGTCTGCCTCATGTGTCTCTGTGCTTCATATGTCTGCCTCATGTGTCTCTGTGCCTCATATGTCTGCCTCATGTGTCTCTGTGCCTCATATGTATGCCTCATGTGTCTCTGTGCCTCATATGTCTGCCTCATGTGTCTCTGTGCCTCATATGTCTGCCTCATGTGTCTCTGTGCCTCATATGTCTGCCTCATGTGTCTCTGTGCCTCATATGTCTGCCTCATGTGTCTCTGTGCCTCATATGTATGCCTCATGTGTCTCTGTGCCTCATATGTCTGCCTCATGTGTCTCTGTGCCTCATATGTCTGCCTCATGTGTCTCTGTGCCTCATATGTATGCCTCATGTGTCTCTGTGCCTCATATGTCTGCCTCATGTGTCTCTGTGCCTCATATGTCTGCCTCATGTGTCTCTGTGCCTCATATGTCTGCCTCATGTGTCTCTGTGCCTCATATGTCTGCCTCATGTGTCTCTGTGCGTCACATGTCTGCCTCATGTGTCTCTGTGCCTCATATGTCTGCCTCATGTGTCTCTGTGCCTCATATGTCTGCCTCATGTGTCTCTGTGCCTCATATGTATGCCTCATGTGTCTCTGTGCCTCATATGTCTGCCTCATGTGTCTCTGTGCCTCATATGTCTGCCTCATGTGTCTCTGTGCCTCATATGTATGCCTCATGTGTCTCTGTGCCTCATATGTCTGCCTCATGTGTCTCTGTGCCTCATATGTCTGCCTCATGTGTCTCTGTGCCTCATATGTCTGCCTCATGTGTCTCTGTGCCTCATATGTCTGCCTCATGTGTCTCTGTGCGTCACATGTCTGCCTCATGTGTCTCTGTGCCTCATATGTCTGCCTCATGTGTCTCTGTGCCTCATATGTCTGCCTCATGTGTCTCTGTGCCTCATATGTCTGCCTCATGTGTCTCTGTGCCTCATATGTCTGCCTCATGTGTCTCTGTGCCTCATATGTCTGCCTCATGTGTCTCTGTGCCTCATATGTCTGCCTCATGTGTCTCTGTGCCTCATATGTATGCCTCATGTGTCTCTGTGCCTCATATGTCTGCCTCATGTGTCTCTGTGCCTCATATGTCTGCCTCATGTGTCTCTGTGCCTCATATGTCTGCCTCATGTGTCTCTGTGCCTCATATGTCTGCCTCATGTGTCTCTGTGCCTCATATGTCTGCCTCATGTGTCTCTGTGCCTCATATGTCTGCCTCATGTGTCTCTGTGCCTCATATGTCTGCCTCATGTGTCTCTGTGCCTCATATGTCTGCCTCATGTGTCTCTGTGCCTCATATGTCTGCCTCATGTGTCGCTGTGCCTCATATGTCTGCCTCATGTGTCTCTGTGCCTCATATGTCTGCCTCATGTGTCTCTGTGCCTCATATGTCTGCCTCATGTGTCTCTGTGCGTCATATGTCTGCCTCATGTGTCTCTGTGCCTCATATGTCTGCCTCATGTGTCTCTGTGCCTCATATGTCTGCCTCATGTGTCTCTGTGCCTCATATGTCTGCCTCATGTGTCTCTGTGCCTCATATGTCTGCCTCATGTGTCTCTGTGCCTCATATGTCTGCCTCATGTGTCTCTGTGCCTCATATGTCTGCCTCATGTGTCTCTGTGCCTCATATGTCTGCCTCATGTGTCTCTGTGCCTCATATGTCTGCCTCATGTGTCTCTGTGCCTCATATGTCTGCCTCATGTGTCTCTGTGCCTCATATGTCTGCCTCATGTGTCTCTGTGCGTCATATGTCTGCCTCATGTGCCTCTGTGCCTCGTATGTCTGCCTCATGTGTCTCTGTGCCTCATATGTCTGCCTCATGTGTCTCTGTGCCTCATATGTCTGCCTCATGTGTCTCTGTGCCTCATATGTCTGCCTCATGTGTCTCTGTGCCTCATATGTCTGCCTCATGTGTCTCTGTGCCTCATATGTCTGCCTCATGTGTCGCTGTTTCCTCATAGTTTCTGGTAGATGGTAGATGCTCCTCATATGTCCCTCATATGTCTTTTCTGGTAGATGGTAGATGCTCCTCATATGTCCCTCATATGTCTTTTCTGGTAGATGGTAGATGCTCCTCATATGTCCCTCATATGTCTTTTCTGGTAGATGGTAGATGCTCCTCATATGTCCCTCATATGTCTTTTCTGGTAGATGGTAGATGCTCCTCATATGTCCCTCATATGTCTTTTCTGGTAGATGGTAGATGCTCCTCATATGTCCCTCATATGTCTTTTCTGGTAGATGGTAGATGCTCCTCATATGTCCCTCATATGTCTTTTCTGGTAGATGGTAGATGCTCCTCATATGTCCCTCATATGTCTTTTCTGGTAGATGGTAGATGCTCCTCATATGTCCCTCATATGTCTTTTCTGGTAGATGGTAGATGCTCCTCATATGTCCCTCATATGTCTTTTCTGGTAGATGGTAGATGCTCCTCATATGTCCCTCATATGTCTTTTCTGGTAGATGGTAGATGCTCCTCATATGTCCCTCATATGTCTTTTCTGGTAGATGGTAGATGCTCCTCATATGTCCCTCATATGTCTTTTCTGGTAGATGGTAGATGCTCCTCATATGTCCCTCATATGTCTTTTCTGGTAGATGGTAGATGCTCCTCATATGTCCCTCATATGTCTTTTCTGGTAGATGGTAGATGCTCCTCATATGTCCCTCATATGTCTTTTCTGTTAGATGGTAGATGCTCCTCATATGTCCCTCATATGTCTTTTCTGGTAGATGGTAGATGCTCTCATATGTCCCTCATATGTCTTTTCTGGTAGATGGTAGATGCTCCTCATATGTCCCTCATATGTCTTTTCTGGTAGATGGTAGATGCTCCTCATATGTCCCTCATATGTCTTTTCTGGTAGATGGTAGATGCTCCTCATATGTCCCTCATATGTCTTTTCTGGTAGATGGTAGATGCTCCTCATATGTCCCTCATATGTCTTTTCTGGTAGATGGTAGATGCTCCTCATATGTCCCTCATATGTCTTTTCTGGTAGATGGTAGATGCTCCTCATATGTCCCTCATATGTCTTTTCTGGTAGATGGTAGATGCTCCTCATATTCTCATATGTCTTTTCTGTATGGTAGATGCTCATATGTCCCTCATATGTCTTTTCTGGTAGATGGTAGATGCTCCTCATATGTCCCTCATATGTCTTTTCTGTTAGATGGTAGATGCTCCTCATATGTCCCTCATATGTCTTTTCTGGTAGATGGTAGATGCTCCTCATATGTCCCTCATATGTCTTTTCTGGTAGATGGTAGATGCTCCTCATATGTCCCTCATATGTCTTTTCTGGTAGATGGTAGATGCTCCTCATATGTCCCTCATATGTCTTTTCTGGTAGATGGTAGATGCTCCTCATATGTCCCTCATATGTCTTTTCTGGTAGATGGTAGATGCTCCTCATATGTCCCTCATATGTCTTTTCTGGTAGATGGTAGATGCTCCTCATATGTCCCTCATATGTCTTTTCTGGTAGATGGTAGATGCTCCTCATATGTCCCTCATATGTCTTTTCTGGTAGATGGTAGATGCTCCTCATATGTCCCTCATATGTCTTTTCTGGTAGATGGTAGATGCTCCTCATATGTCCCTCATATGTCTTTTCTGGTAGATGGTAGATGCTCCTCATATGTCCCTCATATGTCTTTTCTGGTAGATGGTAGATGCTCCTCATATGTCCCTCATATGTCTTTTCTGGTAGATGGTAGATGCTCCTCATATGTCCCTCATATGTCTTTTCTGGTTAGATGGTAGATGCTCCTCATATGTCCCTCATATGTCTTTTCTGGTAGATGGTAGATGCTCCTCATATGTCCCTCATATGTCTTTTCTGGTAGATGGTAGATGCTCCTCATATGTCCCTCATATGTCTTTTCTGGTAGATGGTAGATGCTCCTCATATGTCCCTCATATGTCTTTTCTGGTAGATGGTAGATGCTCCTCATATGTCCCTCATATGTCTTTTCTGGTAGATGGTAGATGCTCCTCATATGTCCCTCATATGTCTTTTCTGGTAGATGGTAGATGCTCCTCATATGTCCCTCATATGTCTTTTCTGGTAGATGGTAGATGCTCCTCATATGTCCCTCATATGTCTTTTCTGGTAGATGGTAGATGCTCCTCATATGTCCCTCATATGTCTTTTCTGGTAGATGGTAGATGCTCCTCATATGTCCCTCATATGTCTTTTCTGGTAGATGGTAGATGCTCCTCATATGTCCCTCATATGTCTTTTCTGGTAGATGGTAGATGCTCCTCATATGTCCCTCATATGTCTTTTCTGGTAGATGGTAGATGTCTCATATGTTATATTTTTTTTAGATGGTAGATGCTCCTCATATGTCCCTCATATGTCTTTTCTGGTAGATGGTAGATGCTCCTCATATGTCCCTCATATGTCTTTTCTGGTAGATGGTAGATGCTCCTCATATGTCCCTCATATGTCTTTTCTGGTAGATGGTAGATGCTCCTCATATGTCCCTCATATGTCTTTTCTGGTAGATGGTAGATGCTCCTCATATGTCCCTCATATGTCTTTTCTGGTAGATGGTAGATGCTCCTCATATGTCCCTCATATGTCTTTTCTGGTAGATGGTAGATGCTCCTCATATGTCCCTCATATGTCTTTTCTGTTAGATGGTAGATGCTCCTCATATGTCCCTCATATGTCTTTTCTGGTAGATGGTAGATGCTCCTCATATGTCCCTCATATGTCTTTTCTGGTAGATGGTAGATGCTCCTCATATGTCCCTCATATGTCTTTTCTGGTAGATGGTAGATGCTCCTCATATGTCCCTCATATGTCTTTTCTGTAGATGGTAGATGCTCCCTCATATGTCCCTCATATTCTTTTCTGGTAGATGGTAGATGCTCCTCATATGTCCCTCATATGTCTTTTCTGGTAGATGGTAGATGCTCCTCATATGTCCCTCATATGTCTTTTCTGGTAGATGGTAGATGCTCCTCATATGTCCCTCATATGTCTTTTCTGGTAGATGGTAGATGCTCCTCATATGTCCCTCATATGTCTTTTCTGGTAGATGGTAGATGCTCCTCATATGTCCCTCATATGTCTTTTCTGGTAGATGGTAGATGCTCCTCATATGTCCCTCATATGTCTTTTCTGGTAGATGGTAGATGCTCCTCATATGTCCCTCATATGTCTTTTCTGGTAGATGGTAGATGCTCCTCATATGTCCCTCATATGTCTTTTCTGGTAGATGGTAGATGCTCCTCATATGTCCCTCATATGTCTTTTCTGGTAGATGGTAGATGCTCCTCATATGTCCCTCATATGTCTTTTCTGTTAGATGGTAGATGCTCCTCATATGTCCCTCATATGTCTTTTCTGGTAGATGGTAGATGCTCCTCATATGTCCCTCATATGTCTTTTCTGTTAGATGGTAGATGCTCCTCATATGTCCCTCATATGTCTTTTCTGGTAGATGGTAGATGCTCCTCATATGTCCCTCATATGTCTTTTCTGGTAGATGGTAGATGCTCCTCATATGTCCCTCATATGTCTTTTCTGGTAGATGGTAGATGCTCCTCATATGTCCCTCATATGTCTTTTCTGGTAGATGGTAGATGCTCCTCATATGTCCCTCATATGTCTTTTCTGTTAGATGGTAGATGCTCCTCATATGTCCCTCATATGTCTTTTCTGGTAGATGGTAGATGCTTCCTCATATGTCCCTCATATGTCTTTTCTGGTAGATGGTAGATGCTCCTCATATGTCCCTCATATGTCTTTTCTGGTAGATGGTAGATGCTCCTCATATGTCCCTCATATGTCTTTTCTGGTAGATGGTAGATGCTCCTCATATGTCCCTCATATGTCTTTTCTGGTAGATGGTAGATGCTCCTCATATGTCCCTCATATGTCTTTTCTGGTAGATGGTAGATGCTCCTCATATGTCCCTCATATGTCTTTTCTGGTAGATGGTAGATGCTCCTCATATGTCCCTCATATGTCTTTTCTGGTAGATGGTAGATGCTCCTCATATGTCCCTCATATGTCTTTTCTGGTAGATGGTAGATGCTCCTCATATGTCCCTCATATGTCTTTTCTGGTAGATGGTAGATGCTCCTCATATGTCCCTCATATGTCTTTTCTGGTAGATGGTAGATGCTCCTCATATGTCCCTCATATGTCTTTTCTGGTAGATGGTAGATGCTCCTCATATGTCCCTCATATGTCTTTTCTGGTAGATGGTAGATGCTCCTCATATGTCCCTCATATGTCTTTTCTGGTAGATGGTAGATGCTCCTCATATGTCCCTCATATGTCTTTTCTGGTAGATGGTAGATGCTCCTCATATGTCCCTCATATGTCTTTTCTGTTAGATGGTAGATGCTCCTCATATGTCCCTCATATGTCTTTTCTGGTAGATGGTAGATGCTCCTCATATGTCCCTCATATGTCTTTTCTGGTAGATGGTAGATGCTCCTCATATGTCCCTCATATGTCTTTTCTGGTAGATGGTAGATGCTCCTCATATGTCCCTCATATGTCTTTTCTGTAGATGGTAGATGCTCCTCATATGTCCCTCATATGTCTTTTCTGGTAGATGGTAGATGCTCCTCATATGTCCCTCATATGTCTTTTCTGGTAGATGGTAGATGCTCCTCATATGTCCCTCATATGTCTTTTCTGTAGATGGTAGATGCTCCTCATATGTCCCTCATATGTCTTTTCTGGTAGATGGTAGATGCTCCTCATATGTCCCTCATATGTCTTTTCTGGTAGATGGTAGATGCTCCTCATATGTCCCTCATATGTCTTTTCTGGTAGATGGTAGATGCTCCTCATATGTCCCTCATATGTCTTTTCTGGTAGATGGTAGATGCTCCTCATATGTCCCTCATATGTCTTTTCTGGTAGATGGTAGATGCTCCTCATATGTCCCTCATATGTCTTTTCTGGTAGATGGTAGATGCTCCTCATATGTCCCTCATATGTCTTTTCTGGTAGATGGTAGATGCTCCTCATATGTCCCTCATATGTCTTTTCTGGTAGATGGTAGATGCTCCTCATATGTCCCTCATATGTCTTTTCTGGTAGATGGTAGATGCTCCTCATATGTCCCTCATATGTCTTTTCTGGTAGATGGTAGATGCTCCTCATATGTCCCTCATATGTCTTTTCTGGTAGATGGTAGATGCTCCTCATATGTCCCTCATATGTCTTTTCTGGTAGATGGTAGATGCTCCTCATATGTCCCTCATATGTCTTTTCTGGTAGATGGTAGATGCTCCTCATATGTCCCTCATATGTCTTTTCTGGTAGATGGTAGATGCTCCTCATATGTCCCTCATATGTCTTTTCTGGTAGATGGTAGATGCTCCTCATATGTCCCTCATATGTCTTTTCTGTTAGATGGTAGATGCTCCTCATATGTCCCTCATATGTCTTTTCTGGTAGATGGTAGATGCTCCTCATATGTCCCTCATATGTCTTTTCTGGTAGATGGTAGATGCTCCTCATATGTCCCTCATATGTCTTTTCTGGTAGATGGTAGATGCTCCTCATATGTCCCTCATATGTCTTTTCTGGTAGATGGTAGATGCTCCTCATATGTCCCTCATATGTCTTTTCTGGTAGATGGTAGATGCTCCTCATATGTCCCTCATATGTCTTTTTCTGGTAGATGGTAGATGCTCCTCATATGTCCCTCATATGTCTTTTCTGGTAGATGGTAGATGCTCCTCATATGTCCCTCATATGTCTTTTCTGTTAGATGGTAGATGCTCCTCATATGTCCCTCATATGTCTTTTCTGGTAGATGGTAGATGCTCCTCATATGTCCCTCATATGTCTTTTCTGGTAGATGGTAGATGCTCCTCATATGTCCCTCATATGTCTTTTCTGGTAGATGGTAGATGCTCCTCATATGTCCCTCATATGTCTTTTCTGGTAGATGGTAGATGCTCCTCATATGTCCCTCATATGTCTTTTCTGGTAGATGGTAGATGCTCCTCATATGTCCCTCATATGTCTTTTCTGGTAGATGGTAGATGCTCCTCATATGTCCCTCATATGTCTTTTCTGTTAGATGGTAGATGCTCCTCATATGTCCCTCATATGTCTTTTCTGGTAGATGGTAGATGCTCCTCATATGTCCCTCATATGTCTTTTCTGGTAGATGGTAGATGCTCCTCATATGTCCCTCATATGTCTTTTCTGTTAGATGGTAGATGCTCCTCATATGTCCCTCATATGTCTTTTCTGGTAGATGGTAGATGCTCCTCATATGTCCCTCATATGTCTTTTCTGGTAGATGGTAGATGCTCCTCATATGTCCCTCATATGTCCTTTTTCTGGTAGATGGTAGATGCTCCTCATATGTCCCTCATATGTCTTTTCTGGTAGATGGTAGATGCTCCTCATATGTCCCTCATATGTCTTTTCTGGTAGATGGTAGATGCTCCTCATATGTCCCTCATATGTCTTTTCTGGTAGATGGTAGATGCTCCTCATATGTCCCTCATATGTCATTTTTCTGGTAGATGGTAGATGCTCCTCATATTCCTCATATGTCTTTTCTTAGTGTAGATGTTATTTTCTTTCTTTTTTATTTCCTCTATTTATATTTTTTCTGGTAGATGGTAGATGCTCCTCATATGTCCCTCATATGTCTTTTCTGGTAGATGGTAGATGGTAGATGCTCCTTGTCTCTTCTGTCCTATCCCCTCTTGTCTTCACCCACGTGTACCCCGACCCAGTTCGAGTCATGTCAGTGGGCACGCCAGTGGAGCAGCTGCTGCTGCAGGGCGCTCAGTGTGTGACTGTGTCGGTCTGGTCCTTACCCCTCTGTGTCACTCCGTGTCTCACTGTGTTTCCCACACCAGGTCTACCCCGACCCAGTGCGCGTGGTGTCTGTGGGCACGCCAGTGGAGCAGCTGCTGCAGGACCCGGAGAACCCCCAGTGGGCCAACAGCTCTATTGAATTCTGTGGCGGTGAGTTGCGCGGTACTTGAGTTGTGCTATGCTAGAGTTGTTGTATACTAGAGGTATGCTATCCTTGAGTTATCCTACACTTGAGTTATGCTATTCTTGAGTTTTCCTGGACTTGAGTTGTGCTATTCTTGAGTAATTTTATACTTGAGTTATGCTATTCTTGGGTTGTGCTATACTTGAGTTATGCTATTCTTGAGTTTTGCTATACTTAGAGTTATTCTATACTTGAAGAAGTGCTCATGTAACTTTAGTCTCTCTGAGCTGTTGAGACCTACCAACCTGAGAACCCCAGATGGGCCAACACCTGCCATCCCATCCCATCACCACGTGCTCCTCTACTCCCTTCCCATATGCAAGTATCAGCAATGCGCCAGCAGTACATGCATAGCAGCGTAAGGTGTGCCATCCGCTTCCCGAACTCCATGTGCTTTCCCTCGTCCGTCCCCCTCTAGTCCCCCCCCCCCACTTCCCCTTCCCCCCCTCTCTCCCCCCCCCTCTCCTGGCACGCACATCAGCAACACGTCAGAGGCGCAGTCCTTTGCCATCATCAGCGAGGAGGGCATCGCCAAGGGCGTGCAGGACTCATACTCCTTCCCATTCCTCTGCACGCCTCCTTGCTCCCCCCCCCGCCTCCCCCCAGGAACCCACATTTCCAACACGTCAGAGGCGCAGTCGTTTGCCATTATCAGCGAGGAGGGCATTGCCAAGGGCGTGCGGCGAATCATCGCCTTCACCTCTGCCAAGGCCAAAGAGGCCATTGCTCTCGCGGACCAGTTCGCTGCCAGAATCGAAGCGGCCGGGAAACTCACCGGCACTGCTCTGGAGAAGGTGGGTGCTTGGCCTTGTTGTTTCCAGTTCAGAGACAGTCAGAGGGTAGGGCCCGCATGTTCACCGACCAGCTCGTTGCGGGACTCACGCGGCCTGGACACTGCTCTGGAGAAGGTGAGTTGACCTCTGTTGACCCTCGTTGACCTCCATTGACCTTGGTTTCTTTTATTTGTGCCTCCGTTTCTTCCACTATCTCTCATAAAGAGGCAGCAGCCGTCCATTGATCAGTCATTCTTGCCACTGCAGCATCCACTCCGTCGTGCCCATTCATCTATTCACTCCCTTCCCCCGACCCTGCATCCCACCAGGAAGTGGCAGCCCTCAAGGGGTCAGTCGATTCAGCCGTCATCCCTGCGGCCTACAAGGCGCAGCTTAAAGCCTCCCTGCTGAAGCTGATGGACCGCATTCGCCAGGCGCAGAAAGCAGCAGCGGGCGCCAACCTCAAGCTCGCCATCCAGACGGCGGTTGAGACGGCGGCAGCAGCCGCAGCCGCAGGCGAGAGTGTGTGCGTGCTGCGGATCGACGTGGGGCTGGACCCCAATGCCATCAGGGAGGCCGTGGCTACTGTTCTGGGACAACAGAAGGTGAGTGTGAGGGACAGCAAGGGTTGTGGGATGATGTGCTGGGGCTGTATGGCAGCCGCGGAGGAGAGTGTGTGCGTGCTGCGCATCGACGTGGGGCTGGACCCCAATGCCATCAGGGAGGCCGTTGCCACGGTGCTGGGGCAGCAGAAGGTGAGAAGGTAGGTTGGGAGCAATTTGTGGGTTTAGGTAAGGGCATGTGGTTTGGTAGCAGCTGCAGCCGCAGGGGAGAGTGTGTGCGTGCTGCGGATCGATGTGGGGCTGGACCCCAATGCGATCAGGGAGGCCGTTGCCATGGTGCTGGGGCAGCAGAAGGTGAGGGCGAGGGGAAGGCAGGGGGAGATAGCAATGTGTGCTTGGCATGTGTTTGGCAGCAGCGGGGGAGAGTGTGTGCGTGCTGCAGTTTTATCTGGGGTTAGATCCCAATGGGATAAGGGAGGCCGTTGCCCCAGTGCTGGGGCAGCAGAAGGTGAGTGTGAAGGGAGGGCAGGTGAGAAGAGGGTGGAAGAACGTGTGTTGGTGTGTAGATGTTAGATGTTAGATGCAAGGGCTAGATGTTAAGAGTACTTGTGTATCTGGGAGGGCTTTTAAAGCCCGGATCCCGAATTACTCAACCCGAGTCAACGGGAGGGAGGTGGGTTGGGAAACCACAAAACTATTGGTTGCGAGATTTGAAGGAGGAGTTTTATTGGTCGTGCTTCAAGCCAAACTGGGCCCAGTTCCATCCCTTCTGCTAATCTGGGACCTGGGCTTTAAGCCAGTTGTTTCCCCTCACCTGCCCCCGCTGTCCCCCTTTCAGGAGCTGGCAGTGCTGAGTGTATCAGTGGACGAGGAGAAGGGCAAGGAGCTCGTGTACACAGGGCGGATCCTGGCTTGTAGTCTCCCTCTCTTCCCCCCCCCCTCCCCCCTCCCCCCCTTCTCCTTTCCTCCCCCCCTCGCTCCTGCCTGCCCCTATCCCCCCTTTCAGGAGCTGGCAGTGCTGATGGTGTTGGTGGACGAGGAGAGGGGCAACGTGCTCGCGTACGCGGGGGTGCTGACAGGTTGACTCAAGTGTCACCGCAATTCCTCCCTTCGCTTCCCTCCCCATGTTTCCCATCTCCCCAGGAGCTGGCAGTGCTGATGGTGTCGGTGGACGAGGAGAGGGACAAGGTGCTCGTGTACGCGGGGGTCCTGGACGCTTTAGCTGCCCACGGCCTCTCTGTGTGCTTCACATCTCCCCTTCCCCCCACCCCCACTTGCCTCCGCTTTCAGGAGCTGGCAGTGCTGATGGTGTCGGTGGACGAGGAGAAGGGCAAGGTGCTCGTGTACGCTGGGGTGCCGGAGGCCATAACTGCTCGCGGCCTCTCTGTGTTGGACTGGCTGCGGGCGGCACTCGTGCCTGTGGAGGGCAAGGGAGGGGGCGGCAAGGGCGGGCTCGCACAGGGGCAGGTGAGGAGAAAAAGTAGGGCTGGATGTGTAGGAAAACTGTGCTGGCGGTTGTTTTCTTTGCTTGGGTGGTATAGGAAGTCGAGGAGGGGCTTGAGGCCTGGAAGGGATTTGATATGGAAGGAGTGGATGGGTGGGGGGGGGATGGAGGATGTTGCCGTTCCGGTCTCTTTTTTGCCGTCTGTCTTCGTTGTGGGTTGAATTGAAGTTGGTATCTGATGGTTTTTTTCTGTTGTTTTGGCAGGGTAACAAGGCATCAGGTGCAAATGAAGCAATGGAGGTGGCTAAGAAGTTTGCTGCTGAGAAGTTGGGTAAATAGATTGAGCATTTTATGTGATGGGACGTTTGACTATTGATTCTTATGGATGCCTCAAACCTTCATACGTGTATTTGGCTACCCATCGTCACTTCCTTAGCTTACAAATCGACCCCTGCTTAGGTGCGAATCCGAATAATATTGAAGGGTGCGTATAGCGTGGTGTACATCTCTTGTGTTGACCAGTCATATCCAAAGAACTTTCTGCAGCACATACTGATCACACCACCACGCCACGCCACCAACCCCGTATGGTCGGAGAAACCCTATCTTGTCGCTTCCGTACAATGAGGAGTCGCATCGCATGCAGCTTGGTCTCTAGAGCAATCCCTAGTCTATCGCCGCGCCATACGGTGGCCCTAAAGCAATTGGCGAATCACTCGAGTTACTCCGCCGCATTGACTGGCCTCTGGGCTCAGTACAGTACATTCGGGCCAGTTTGGAACTGGTGGGACCCATGTATTCCCCAGAACCAACCACAACCGTTTTGCTACCACCTACGAACAAAATCACCTCTTCGCGAAAGACGGTTCGCGGCTGTCGCGAAACCACTGACAATTTTCTCGCGATTTCAACGCCGAATTCGGCAGCCTCAGCTCGAAGCGCATCCAGGATTAGCAGCATATAAATCTCCCTCGAACTACCGCATTCTTCATCATCAATCTTCGTTCACCCTTCCTCCATACTGGACATCCAAACGACAAAGCTTCCTCGTACTTCTGTCGACATGGCTTCGAAATTCCTCCTCGTTGGTTCAATTTTCGCGATACTGGTCCTCTCATGTAAGTTTTTTCCCCCCAACGGAATCAGGCTCGTTTAGATTCTTAGCACGCATTCCGCTAGTTCTCCCAGTTCGCACTCCCAGTTCGCACCCAATGGAATTCCGCTAACTCCCATATTTCTCCTGCTTGCTCGCTCAGGTGCGGCTCATCGCGGAGGCCGCTTCGGAGGCGGCGGTTTTGGCCGTGGCGTGTGGCGTGGCCTCCTGAATGGCACCCTCGGCACTCCAGTTGGTAAGCTTCGACGTTGGTCCGAACAAGAGTCATTCTGGGTGATAGATGCATTACTAGTAAAATCTGGCTCGGATTGGCCGTGGCGTGTGGCGTGGCCTCCTGAATGGCACCCTCGGCACTACAGTTGGTAAGCGTTGTCGGCACAGAGAGTGATTTTGGGTGATTTTAGTACTGGGGGCGGTAAAGACTGTCTCGTGTCACCAGAAGCATTCACTAAAATGGGATGTCCAGCGCGCTTTGAGGCGCCTAAAAAATGGGATGTCCAGCGCGCTTTGAGGCGCCTCAAAAATGGGATGTCCAGCGTGCATGAGCATCAACAGTAGACAATCCAAACCATTTTCTTCACGTCCCATGATCATGTTTCTTTGCATGCTCGCTCAGGGCATTCATTATCGGCTCACCGCTCATCCCTCACCCAATCATCATAATGTCTCCTGTTTTACGCAATACCTCTTTGCAGGGTCGATTAACGCATTCATGATCGGCTCTGAGGTGCTCGACGGTCTCACCTGAGTGCTGAATTCGCATCAAAACCGTTCCGTACTTCACATTCGTTTCCCCCCCCGCAGGCTCGCTCAAGGCCTTCATGAACGGCTCTCAGGTGCTCGATGCCAGCGACGCCGCCGTCGGCGATGCGAACGCGACGGGGATAATCGGGCTCGTGGTGCTTAAAACGGACACGGACTACAACATCCTCTACCAGGCCGGCGTACGCGTTACAGACGCGGGCCTCCCCACCTCCATCGCCATCAACAGCGACGCGGCCGGCGCCGGCGGCTCCCCCGTGATAGAGTTCTCCGCTACCGAGGCCGCGTGGCAGAATTACACGTGGAACGGGACCCGATTCGGGCGGTTCGGGCAGGGAAACCAGGGCGCGGCGCTGAAGGCTGTGGTGAAGGTGCTCTCGCAGTGGTTCCCCAATCTGAACTCCACCGGTGCTGGGTCGTTTTTCGGCGGGCGCGGGGGCCCCAGGGGCCCGCCTTCCGGATTCGCTTATGGCTTCTCCGGTGTTTGGTACAACGCGAGCACGATCACAAACAGCGCGGGGAGGAGCTACGCGGATGTCGTTGCGGTCGACATGCTTGCGGCGCCGGAGAGCTTCTTTGGCGTCGTGAAAACCGACGCTTTTGCTGACGGGGTTGTCGGGGGGGCGTTCGCGAACCACACCATGCACGGGGGGCGTGGAGGGCGCGGGGGACGTGGAGGACCCAGGTCCGGTGGCTTCCTCGGCGGTCGCCGGGGCTAGACTCTAGCTTCGGAAATAGAGGGGAGCGGGGGCGCCAGCCCGGTGAGCGGCTCGGCGGGCGCAGCAACAAGACACGAAGGAAGCAGTGCGGTGCGGAGCGGCGTGGTGAGATGTGGTGTGCTGACTGCACACGTTTCAAAAAGAGAAGGGGAGGGATGTGTGATGGGGACTCAAGAGGCAGCACGCATGGCATGGAGGTCAAGTCGGGCGCTTGCTGTTCCTCATAGCAGTACCTCAACTTCTGCACTTAGTTTCGGCACATACTGGCATGGTGGCATTCTGCATTCTGCAGCTCCAGACTTGATCTCCATGGCGTTGCATATCTGCCTCTGTCGCCCTTACTTACCCCCCCCCCCACCACCCCCCCCCTCCCTTCCCCCACATCACCCCCCCCCTCCTCACCCCTCCCCCCTGTCTCTGATATCCATCACCCGTTCAGTCGTCACTTCCATCCTCCTTGTGCTGTGCGTGCAACTGCTTGTAATCACTTCTTGTGAATGCATACGTAGTGGATATTTCTCCAGAAATGCTGTGCATGCTCGTCACTCCATTGCAGCAGCCTGTGAACTTATATTTTTGGCCTGGTAACTGCTGGGGACAGCTTACTGAAATGGCGGATACACACAGTGACGTTCTCCAGCTCGAAATATCTAGACTGGTAATAGAAACTCCATGGCGAACCTGACGGGATATGATAATTTTTGAAAGTGTTACACGCTTTCTAAAATTGTGTATTGTGAAAGTGGAAACGTGGCCAGCACAGCAAAGGTAGCGGCGCGCCGCTACTCACCCTCTTTTTGCCTACAAAAGAGGGACGTGAGGCCAGTTGGCCTCACCCACGTTCTTCATTTTCAGTTTCTAGTTTGAGTTCCTAGTTCTCGTCCAACCTGGCGAAGGCCCAATCCCTCCCTCGCTTCAGGGCTCCAGCCACACTACTCACCGACATTCTCCAGCGCAACCTCGCAAACATGGCGCCGACGAACACGCCTCCTAACCGGGAGGTTAACAAGCCGTCTACACCCGCCGTCGCTCCGGAGCTCGGAAGTTCGCCCAGGGTAACCGACCAACGCTAGAAACGCCCAGCCGAAAATTTCGGCGAGGGCCCTTATGGTGTCGAGGTCCTCCTCGGCACGTCGGAGCAGCAGCGCGTGGCGTCAAATTTGGAGGATCGCGCGGCTGCGAAGCAGCAGCGTGAGACTACCAAGGTGACGCCCGCTGACGTGGACGACATCGCTGGCACGTCAGGGGGCCAGGCGGGCCCCACCTCGTCAAGGCGCCCTATGGCACCATCCGAAGTCAACACATTGGTCAACGCGCCAGTCAACGCCGCCCCCGCGCTCACTGCGCAGCAGCTGCAGGCGCTCCTGGCGCTGTTACACCAGCAAGCCCCCGTTACGGTCGGAACTTCCGACAACATTTCCGCTCCGACAAAAAATGATAAGAAGAAATCGCCCTTGCTCCCTCCTCGCGCCAACAAGATCCCACGCACCGACGACCCGGCCCCTGCACCTGTTCCTGCACCTGCACGTGCCGACAGTGACGACTCTGACAACGACGACGGTGAGGCTCCCAATAATATCGCTCGTCGTCGCATTTTTCCTTCCGCCCCCCCTCTCCCTCCCCTTAACCCCTCGCCCACGGCCACCACCTTCATCCGCAAGGGGGTGCGGGACCAGGCGGAAGTCTTTGCCGCCATCCAGGCACACCTGAAGCACGTGGACTACAACCTCCAGCATGGCGACAACGAAACCGCCCTCTCCCACGTCACGCACATCGAAGAACTCATCAACAAGCGCTTCGAGGTGCTTTTGGTGGCGGACGAGGCGGGTTTCGAGGCGGCGGACCGTTTCCAGTTGTACCAGTCGAAGAGCGTGCTCACCTCCCGCTCCTACAAGCTCGCTGTCGCGGACGCACCGGCTATACGCGCGGTCCCCGCATTGGCGGCCGGGAGGGTGATTTGGAGGGCAAAAGTGTTGGCGCCGCTGGCTGCCAGGAACCCCGTTTCAAGGGGGTTTGTTTTCGCTGTGGCCAGCCCGGTCACATGGCGAACGCCTGCCCCATGGGGGGGCCTGGCGCGCAAGGTCCCTCACCGGTGGTGTGAGGGGACTTAGGGGTGGTGCCCCTCGCTCATATGCCGGGAGCATATGTAATGTGCACCGGTGTTGTGGGGCTGGTTGTGAGCCTCGGGAATAGGCATGGGGACCAGAGGGTCCTACAAGCTTCAGCCCTAGGGGCAGAAATGGCTACTAGGCCTAGGTGTTTGCTGCAACGTTTGTGTGTAGAGCACTCTTGCTCATAGTATAAGTTGATAGTCCGGGCTTTCATTATTATCATTATCAAAAAAAAAAGAAAAAAAAAAGGGCACAACTTGAGGTTGCTGGCCGAAAACATGCAATCGCTCATGGGTAAGCCATGGTGCGCACACTTACGGAACCAGCACAAACAATCGAAACAGCAACAAGCAAAAAAAAAAAAAAAAAAAAAAACAGCACGGATATTTGTCGGGAGGCAATGATGCTTCACTAATGCCTCGAGCCATGCCGAAAGATACCAGCAACAACAGAAGAAGGACAAGGGAGGGAGAGCAAGATAAAAGGGCAGCAAAAGAGAAAACGACAGATAGAGAGAGAGAGAGAGAGAGAGAGAGAGAGAGAGAGAGAGAGAGAGAGAGAGAGAGAGAGAGAGAGAGAGAGAGAGAGAGAGAGAGAGAAAGAGAGAGAGAGAAAGCGAGAGAGAGAGAGAGAGAGAGAGAAAGAGAGAGAGAGAAAGCGAGAGAGAGAGAGAGAGAGAGAGAGAGAGAGAGAGAGAGAGAGAGAGAGAGAGAGAGAGAGAGAGAGAGAGAGAGAGAGGGAGAGAGGAAGAGAGAGAGAGAGTGAGAGAGAGAGAGAGAGATAGAAAGAGAGAGAGAGAGAGAGAGAGAGAGAGAGAGAGAGAGAGAGAGAGAGAGAGAGAGAGAGAGAGAGAGAGAGAGATATCAGAATTGGAATTTTAATGATGGTAAAGTGAGAGTACACACAAATATACCTAAGTGTTGTACCCTCTAAGAGGTAACCCTATACAGTCTATACAAACATGACAAATACAGATGTTTGACACACCCCCTAGACTGCATAGAGGAATACCCTAAACAAGCAGCTCAGGGCGGCACTACTAGTCCAACCTCTGAGACAGGGGTCTGAGAGACCAGTCAGAAGGAGTACAGACAAGGCAAACAAGACCAGGGCGGCACTACTAGTCCAGCCACTGGGAGAGGACACAAGTCCAGTCTGAGTATACATATAAAGGACAGTACAAGTCAAGGTCCTAGCAAGTGAGAAGCGACAGGAACTAGACCAAGCTGTACACAGTGCCGCTGATGATCTTT